TGAGGCGAAGAAAATCGCCCAAAAATTAGCAGAAGGCCTATTGCTCTTGGAACTAAATATCAAACCTAAAGATAGCGTACCAGAGGCGGAAGAAACTGATAAGAGAAATGGCGATGGCACCCATCCAAACTTGGGTCTTTGGGAGGTAGAGAAGGGTCTGTTTGCTAGCAATGAAAGCGCCCGGGAAGTTCTAAAATCTTTGGGAATAGAAGTTTTAACGGAAGCACAGGCGAGAGCAATATTGGAGAGGCGGGTCGAACTTCGCGGTTAACAACATTAACTGGGCTACGCACCGAAAGCCAGCATGCTGGCATATGGCGAAAGTGAAGACAATAAAAGGCTGACGACTACATAATTTTATATACCCACTTCTAAATAAAACCAAAACATACCCCTTAAGATCTGGTTCTTCTGAATGAGGAATCGTAATTGGTTATTCAAAGACAACTGGTCCATGGCCTCTTTCTGCAGGGTTCTTTGGACGGAATCCGGAAGTAGGCGCCGGGTGTGCTGTCGGAGTCGGTATGTTCAACTCTGAGCCCAGTCGCCGTTTTACAATGGTTGATCCAAGTTTCACAATAGTATTCACGAGGGAATCCACCGTTTCCTCCTTCGTAAGAACATTGACCACACAGCGGAAAAATTTTCCATCCTTAGCAAAAGTGTCGCCATCACTTGGGGGTGCGTAGTCCACCATGAAGCCTTGGGGCACAAGTTTTTGAACAATCTCTTCGGTTATTTGGCTGTTGAGTTCGGCTCTCTCTTCTTCGCTGAGTGTCTTGCCGTTGATCTCTCTTCCTGGGGGGTATGCCATGCGTCCAAGAGGAGCATAGTAAAAGCAAACTTGGAGACAGGGTGGGGGATTCTCAGTAAGGAGAATGAGATGAGGATTGTTTCCAACGACGGTGGAAAGATGCTCAGCAACACTACAAGCAGAGTCGATCTTTTGCTCGTAGCCCTCAGATCCGTAGTACATCCAGCTGAGGAAGAGCTTGAGGGCGTCTGCACGGCGGCCGCATTGTAGAGTCAAGTCACCCAAGTCCCAGAATCCCTTCGTGTATTCCTCGTTATGGAATAGATATCCCGCTGGTAACGTGTTTGCACGGTGGAATTTGCGAATATCAGCGGCCAAGAGGAACGAACAAGTGACCGGCACACCCAGCATCTTATGTGGATTGAAAGTAATACTGTCAGCAAGATGGGATCCTGTAAGTTTGCTTTTCTGCTTTGAGGAGAAAATAAAGGAGCCTCCCCATGAACCGTCGACATGGAACCAAAGGTTGTGCTTTCGGCAGATCTCAGAGATTTCCGGCAGAGGGTCGAAACTGCCTACAACCGTGGTACCCGCAGTGGCATTCACGAAGAATGGCTTCTTTCCTTGGCTTTTCGCGGTTATAATAAGGTCATCGAGCGCCTTCGGTATCATCTGCCCTTTCTCGTCCACGGGAACGACCCAAACCGCTTTGCTACCGAATCCAAGCATTTGTGCAGCCTTCTCAATACTATAATGTCCATGCGCACTTGAGAACAAGACAAACTGATTGCCGCTAACGCCTTCAGTTTTGGTCTCCGGGAATAGAGTATTCCTCGCGATAACAATTGCCGTTGTATTGGATGCTGTACCACCTTGTACTGCTATCCCTCCAGCGTACGGGCCATTTAGGCCAAAAAGGGAGGCCAAACGGGCAGCAGTACTCTTCTCGATAACGGTCAAGGCCGGAGCGACCTGGTACACATGAACATTGGTGTTCAAGGCTGCAATGATCAACTCCGCGGCAAGTCCGGGCGCATTCGTAGAGGCATAGAGTTTGTCCAAAAATCCCTGATGCCAAGTGTTCACAGAATATTGAAGTATCCTGTCTAAGATCTGAAGGAGGCCATCCGCACCCTGCCCGCTACCCGGGAAATCTACCTGGAGTTCCTGCTGGAGCTCACTGGGCCTTTTCAAGTTTAATAACCCGGAGAAGAGAGGGTCACTTTCGTCCGAAGGGTCATGCGCTATGATTGCTTTGGAACCTCTATCTGCAGACTGTATGAACTGCAGAATGCGTTCCTGCACGGGGTTAAGAAGCTACAGGCATAAGTTCATCAGCGCGTGCTCAATGAATGTCGCGCAAAAAGCATTCTCAGAAGACAAGTTCACCATTCAGCTCGAGTAACGGCTGTTTACTCACATTTCTGACTTCGTCCGCCCGTTCCATAGTTATTTACTCACTACTGGGCAAGCAAGCATTCAACCATTTCAATTTACGGAAACTAAAGAGCAGAGAGTGATGTATGCGCAGACATTCTGGCTCCCGTTCAGCCAATATTAGAGTTTGGTGGTGCGAGATTTAATCGGAATGCTACGACTTGACCGGGGTGACATCACATTCGGGCGATAGATCCACACAACTCTGTTTCTAACTATGACCTCTATGAATAACGTGCTGGACGGCCAGTCCCTGGAATACGCTAATAGTAATCCGCGACCCTGGCTGGCCCGGCCTGGGGTGGGCATCCGCAAGGGACCGTCACATCCCTTATTAATCAACCCAAACGCCATCAAGGGGGTCACATACGTTTCCTCCAGCAAAGCCACCAACCCCCCGAAGAGAACATACAGGGGGGTGGCCCTGATTGACCGTTGGTCGATTTGGCCGGTACTATGCGCTGAGTAGACTCTTCGCCGATAAGGCGGCCGACTTCCTTTTCTTTCCGGCTTTGATCTTTTCCTTTCCCTTCGGGTTCTCCGACTCTGGTTTCCTTGCCTTTTCCTCCGCCTGCGCTGCAAATCGCTCTCTTGCCAAGTCCAGTTTTGATTTTGGCTTTGTGACCTGTTCATTGTTGGATGAATCCGCTGTCGATGCGTTTAGATCTAATCCTTTGGCCCTTGACATCCATTCGCCTCGTTTTCTTTTGTACAGGTCCATGGACCAATTCCTCCATACAGCCCTCCCCAGGAAAGAATCTCGTAGCGCCTTCTCATTGGCCACAAGCTCATCAGCCAATCTCTGTTTAAGGAAAAGCAGATCACTGGTAGCTTGCCATAGTATATCAACAACATGAGATCCGCTCGTGTTTAATGCGAGCTCGCACAAATGTCCTGAGAACTTGGGTATTATTTGTCTGCGGAACTGGCCCGTTGCTTTTGAGAAAATGAGTGATTCTTGGAGAACACGGGAACCTGTTGGGCTTTTTGCAATATCCAATAGAAAAGGGACGGTTGCCTCAAGGAAACTAGATCTGATCATCTCTGCTAGAGGTCCCGGCACTCGCAACATTGCCTGTGCAAGAAGCGAGCCATGAAGTTGTTGTGAAGGTAAGTTAGTGGCGCTCTTCGTGGGATCCTCCTTGCTAGGCTCAGATACCTCATCCAACTTCAAGATCTTTTTAAGTCTTGAAACGGCCTCCTCTCCATAAGCGGATTTAAGAGTGTTAGCTAGAGGAGTAAGATTGGCACCTCGTACCGCTCCTCTCTCTATCAAAGCTTTTATCACATTCAATCTTGATCGCTCAACCATTGAAGGTACCTCACGCAAAATGGTATCCATGGCAACCTGTAAATCCTCTTTGCTAAGCCTTTCCAGGACACGAACCGCAACGTACGATGCTATCTCATTCCTGGAAAGAGATCCAATGCGTTCACGGATGATGCTTTTGTATATCATTTTGAAGAATTTGCCTGGAACATGCTGGAATAGCGTCTCTAGCAAGCGGGAGCCAACTGGATCGTAGAATAATCCGTTAATAAACGTTGCACTCTCGGTATTCTCCAGAGAATCATCTGGAATGAGTCGCCGGAGAACTGAGTTAGGATCCTTGGCCCTGTCCTTCCCAAGGTGAGTCAATTCGACCGCTAGAAGTACCTGGAGCACTGGGGACCCGACGGGATGAGTAGCCAAAGCGCGTAAATAGGTGGTGTCTAAACCGGCAACCAAGTCGTTGATCATCTTCTCCAACGCGTCTTGGAATACCGGAGGAACGCTTCGCTTCTCAGAGGAAGACTGTGGGTCTGTTTTGAAAGCATCGAAATTCTCCTTTTTCCGACTGGCAACCACCGCGATATTCGAGGAATTATCCAATGACTCCCCCGCTAATATCAAAAGGAGGACTCTTATCGTATGAGATGCAAATGACTCGGTTAAGAGGTAGCCCCAGTTGCCTTCAAGTTCTGAGATCGCGTTCAAGACTAGGTCGGCCATTGGTAGGCTGGAAGCCGATTCTCCACCATCTTGGTTCTCCTCCGCATCATCTCCTTTCTTTGTTCGAGGTTTCGACTCGTATGTTACGATGGGCGCCGCTCGTAGGAAAAGCCGTTCACAACAATGGCTAGCGAAGCGGTGTTGAACGAGATGCAAGAAATGCCCACTGAATTTTCCAAAAAGGTGCTTCAGCTGGCTCGCACTTGACATCGAGATTAGTTTTTCCATCAATCTTGAGCAAGACTGGCTGCATGCGATTTTCAATTCTTTCCCACCGGCCTCTTGCAGCACACTGTCAATAAAGAGCTGTCGGTCCTCATCATTTTCGAATTGGTTCAGCTCCAGGGTTTGATTGGCACGGGAAAAGTACTCTTGTTCATCCGAGTCCAGTAGTCCATAGAAAGGCGTGTCGTCTACTGGAGCAGCTTCCTCCTCGAGAGGAATGTAATCGTCTCCATCTCCGAACGCATTGTCGTGCGGAACAGGCACTTCGGAACTCTCATCGCCCTGTATTTTTTGCCGCTTTGTGATTTCGGCTTCGGTTGCTTCGTGCCCTCGCTTTCGCTTTTGACTATCCTTATCCTTCTTCGCCTCTGCTCGACGGCCTCTCTTTTGCCTTTCTCGTGGCATGGCGGGCAGGTATCGTCGACTCTCTCTGTGCACGCTGCCTCCGCTCTTCCATCAATTGAGAAAAATTTAGCTTAGTCAGCTCTGGCCCTTCATCTCACGTGATTATCCACCGTGCCCGCTTTATGTCGCTGAATCGGAGCAAACTGCCATGACTCCGATAAAGCCTTGAAACGGGGTCTTAACATACTAGAACTCAGAGTAGACATGCTATTCCTACGCTATGACTATTAAGCTAATTATCTAAGGCACGGACATACAATAGACCGGTATATGTGTGTGCAAGATGTAGACTTCCTTGGAAGTTACGCAATCGAACAATGGAATGTCCGATGCAAAAAAGTTGAATCAAGGAAGTAAAAGGAACTTTTTCTTCGGATGGAATGAAGGATGCAGACCATAGAACAAACGGCTCATGCAACCCAAACACATCCGTTGGTAGGGGAAGGGAGAAAAAGAAGGTATCAACGGTAAAGAGGTATCAGTCATCAGATATATGTACTGCATTAGGAATATTCGCTATACCGCTAGAACACGGTGCGTCGCTATAAGCGAGACATATCTGACTATCAAGCGTCACCTCGCCGGACAACACGCATTAATTTTTTGGTTTGTTCCGTAGCTGATCCCTCAATTCATCTCGGAAGAGCTGGAAGAAATGCTTGATGCCGGGCTCTGCGACGACGAAGAGCAAGCGGAAGTTAGCATCGCCAAGGCATTGTATTGACCAAAGGCTTGACTCACTGTCAATGTTTGTTCCTCCCATATCTTCCGGGGCCTTGCCGTGTCGCAGATCCTGGATTGACTTGTGGACACGGCGCACAGCTCTATGGAAGGTCGGGCTGGCTAAAAGCTACTGTAGATGAGTGAAAAGGCCTTAGACTTGAAGCCTGGGGCAGGGAGCACAGACCCTACCGGTCAGCCAAAGCTGTAGCGCATGTCAGAAGATTCGCTGTTCAAGATTTGAATTGAAGCAACAAGGGGACAGGCGAGCATGACGTACTTCAAAAAAACGAAGCCACATGCCGGATGACTGCAAATCACATCGTGGCTCTGTGCCTGTGACAGTGGGAGACGCCTTGCCACAGCCTGCTGCGCGTTGCGACACAGGGGTTGATTGGGATTGCTGAAAGGAGAAGAAAGCAAAATCTCCCGGTAACCGAACTCAAACTGGTTATGTATTAGAGTGTGGCTTGTGCAGCTGTGGCGAGTGTGCGCTCCATCGAGATCGTCGTCCACCAGCCGGATCTTCGCTCGCTTGCAATTCCGCCTGTTTGCCGCCCACCTGCGGGCGTCTGGATACAATTTGCGGTGCTGCTGTGGAACTTCATTGGTCTAGTACACACCGGTCTCCCTCTCCTCCTCATGCGCTGCACACAGCATTTCACCCAATACAGTGTGCAGAGTAAACCTTTAGGCTGTCGACTCTATTTTTGGCTCCGTCCATTTTCTTAATTTTTTTTTTTTTTTTTTTTTTTTTTTTAATTTTTCTTTTTTAAACTTTCTGCCTTGGGAGTGCGGGTTGAAGCGCCTGCTTGGGCCTGGGGAGAGAGGGACAGCCGTTGGTGGGCATCCATAGACACACCTGAGTGCCGCGAGCACCAAGAAAAAAAAACGCCCCTCATCATCTTGACTTTTGGCCATTCGCATCTGCAGACAAATATGGGTGTGGTTCACGCTTGGAGCCTTCCATTCAGGGTCTGATAGTGCCGTCTCTGCACTACAGGCCACAGCTGTCAAACAAATTCCTTTTGGGAAATCATCCCCCTGATTGTTCTCGCCTTCATCCCATGAAGTGTGTTTCTCCTCTCCCGCATCCCTGAGTTGGTTTGCATCCATATATGCCTCTGACAGTCTCAAATCGCACGTGCTAACTCGCCCTGGCGAGTGCTGTGAATCCGGCCCCCAAATCCATGCGGGACGGCTCAGCCAGTTGCCCGGACCTGCTACTACGAGACACAGCGCCTCCAGACACGCCAACGTCGAATTTTGACTCCAACCGGGCACGCAGCAGTGTACCCTCTGAAACTTCTAGCCTTTCTGACAGTGTCCATTCAAACCTATTCCTCAAGGCCAAGGGTGGCCCGAGCAAGCTTCGCCGCTTTATGAAGCAGGCTCGGAACTTTCGCCGTATTGCAGCTACCAAAATGTCGGAAGCGCGTTTCCCACAGACCCTTGGTAAGCGGGAACGTTCTGCAGATAGCAGATCGTCCGTCAATGGAGGCTCCGTCGCAGCCCTGGATGTGAGCAGCAGGGAAAGCAGCGTCGAAAGAGGCGCCACGCCCACAGTCCCCGCATTCTTGACGCAGTCCTACTCAGGTGAGCTTTCCCCGTCTGGCGGACGTTCTCGGTTTCCTTCAATATGTTGTCTAACGAGAGCTCGGGACGCATAGAGCTACGGTCAAAGTTCGAAGAACTCGAATGGATCCAAAGAAGCCGGATCTCAGCTGGACTTCTGGCCGGAGATCCTTCGCATAAATGGGCGTTGGAGTCCAGCCCTATGGTCAAGGAGAGAAGCCGCTATGCAAACGTCCAGGCTTGGGCCAATTCTCGAATTCACCTAAAAGTTCCGCCCGGAGAATGCGACTTTATCAATGCTTCCCCAATTGAGCTAAAGGATACCCAGTCCCAAGAAGTTGTTCGCTATATTGCAACTCAGGTCAGCCCGTTCCGTATATATTTTCTGAGAGCTCTCTCTAATGAATATCTTCTTGTAGGGTCCGAAGGAAGGTCACTTGGCACATTTCTGGAACATGATTTTTCATGAGACGGGGGAAGTGGCGGTAGTTGTAATGCTCACCCAAACCTTCGAAGCCGGCAGAGAGAAATGCGCACAATACTTCCCGCTAGATATGGAGGTTCCCACTTTCCATTTCTCTTCTGTTGACTCAGATCCTTTTGTTGACCACAAAGAAGACGATACTACATCCGACCATCCTTCTGGGTCAATTTCACTTTTGGAGTGCTCCTACGACGAGTCATGCTGCTCTGAAGTTCGCAAGCTCAAGCTAGAACTCGGTTCAGAATCCAAACTTGTTTGGCATTTCCTGTTTGCCGGTTGGTCCGATTATGCGAAGCCAGAGGGCCACTACCGCGATGCGCTAATTGAATTGACGAAAATAACCGCCGACAAGGCGAGATCCCGTGACAACCCGAGAATCGTCCATTGTAGCGCTGGTGTTGGAAGAACTGGCACCTTTATCGCCCTTGATCACCTTCTAAGGGAATTACGGAACGGGCATCTGCTAAATGTGGCCGATGACACTGTCGACACCGTCTTTGATACGGTAAATCAACTCCGAGAACAGCGAATGATGATGGTATATAATGATATACAATATCAATTTATATACGACGTCGTAAAGGAACAGGCCCATGCTCTCCTTGGAGACAAGGGTGTGACTGGTACTTCCGATGCTGAAGGAAAGGATACCACGAAGGACGAAGAAGATACTCCCACAGAAACGAACACCAAGGGAGAGCTGGAACCCATTGTTGATTAATTGGTCTCCTTACTGTCGAGGGCTGTGGAAACGATGAGATCGCCCGCTGGAGCTGATCTGAACCACCTGAAGCGGAATCCCTACTAATCGGGAATTTTGGCCAGACCGTCCTTGTTTTTCATTACCCAGTTTGTATTAATTTTTGATTCATATGTTTTGGGAGACCTTTGTGTAAAGTTATTGGCATGCATACCTGCGTTGGACCGGGACAATAACCAGGCATTTTTCTTTCAAGTCTTGTTTTTCAGTCTCTTTGCATAAAACAGTTTATCATTCATGGCCTATAATTTCATTGTTACCACATTCCAATCATTGGTATAAAAGTAGTAAATAAAATTCCTACGGAGTACAGAGTACCACATTTTCCTGTTTTGTGAGCTGTCTTGGAGAACAACCTGACCATGTTGCTTTCATCCTATGTATGTACTTCCTCATGTTTTCCAGTGACTACAATGGGACAAAGCAGAATATATAACTAATATAATATTATGCCGCACTTTGATCATGTCCCATCAACTAGCATACTTTTCCACTCACACTCCAGATTCAAAAATCATTCCTAATTAGACTCACTACATGTCAGCAGAAACAAGCAGCAATTCATGGCCTATAAAAAAGGTGAAAAAAAAAAAAAAAAATGAAAAAAATGAAAAAAAGAGACAGAAAGAGAGAGAGAGAGATTTTTAAGTATACATGACCCGCAGCTCAACAAGCTTTTCATCATCTCATCATATTCATATTAAACATTGATCAGTCACTGCGTAACTTCACATCATCCTTCCCCTGGGCTGTTTTTGGTCTATCTCCACTTCCCACAGGGTTACTCTCGCCCTGGTCTCCATCTTCCTCATCCCAATTGTCAACCGCGTTCTCGTCCCAATTATCAACCTCTTGCTCCAGAGTCCTAGTAGTCGTAACGCCAGTTTCCTGGGTACCCAGTTCTGTGTCGTGTGTCGAATTGACGCCTAATTCAATATCATCCCCACCATCTCCATCGTTCATCAAATTTCCAAAGCGAGATTTCCTTCTCCGCTCCAACATCCGCTTGTGGTACCACGTACAGAGTCCCACCGCGCCCAAGCTGCCAACTATGTTGGCAAGGATATCAAAGGGGTCGAACGAGCGGCCGTTTGGAATCAGTGATTGTACTATTTCCGAGCCGATTCCTAGTACCAGTGTGCAGACGGCGATGGTCAGGTGGAGTGTTCGCCGACGAGTCGTGTCTAGGATCCAGTAGAATGCGATGGAGAGGATAAAGAAGGTCACGAAGTGGAGGAATTTGTCGTTGGGCTGGAGCGATGGCGGGATTGTCGAGTCGCCGGGCTTCGATTCATTGTGAGGAGTGAGGCCAATGTAAGCGGATAGAAGAAGAAGAACAAGGAAAGCCCCTGAAGTTAAAAAGTGAATTTTCGAGTTAGCAAGCGAAGGAAATGCTAAGGTGATATACGAGGCTGAGAGCTTCGGTGGACCGGCCGGCAAACATACCAGCAAAGGGATATCTTATGCGCATTTTGAGCTGCAGAGTATTATCAGGGAGCTTTTTCTATTCTGCTTTTCTTTTCTGTTCACGAAAGAATGGAGGAGATTGCCGTGATCTAGGTGTTGTTGGGTACGGAGTAGTTCCTTGAGTATTGGGGGTCTGAGAGGTGATTCACAAAGAACTCATGCCGCTCACGCTGTGCGCTGACCTGACAACAGAAGATCTATTCCAACGTGTTCTATCCACTGCGAGCAACAGCCCAGCCCTGGCTGTGTATGCCGACAGCCCGTTTCCACCTCACTGTGATCTCAAGCAGCCGAAGAAGCTTTTGGCCCTTCCCCAGATCCCGTGACCTGCTCGGTTGGTCAGAATGGTCTGTCTGGGCAACCTTATGACTTTCCACCTCCGCAAAGAATCTCCACCAAAAGAGTCTCACTCTTAGCCATCGAGAACTCAGCACATCCATCGGTTTTCGCTTCGGATCCAGCTCCGGAGTGGTTATCACGGCTTGGGTTCCATCTTATGCGATTTTTCCGCGACCCAGGAGTCCAGATTGTTCTCCGCTGAGGTGGGCTCGTCAGCTGAGGGTAACCCCCTCGCCCGCCCAGCAGCAGGCGGGTTTGGCGCGGCCATGTCGCTCAACCAGCACTGCGCCTGGCTTCCTCCAGGTCATCTCCGCCCCCCGGATAATCAACACAATGCCATTTCCTCCGCCAATGGTCTGTCAAACGGCCCTTCCCGGCCCCGCACCCCCCAAATACCTTCGCGCGCAAATGCGGAGAGCTCTCAGAGCGGAAACTTGATACTGGACGGCGATGGAACACCGGAGGAAGACCCTCGTGTTATCGCCTTTCGAGAAAGCTACAAGCGCACGGAGGCGAAGATAAATTTGCTCTTTAGCAACAAGAGGGTTCTTGATGTCTCCGCTTCAGTTACCGAACCGAACGGAGCTCCCGCCGAGGATCATGCGCCCGCCGATTCCCAGACAGAGGCCGCTCTGGTGCCTTCGCGACGTCCGGCCCGGAAACTAGATGAAGATGATTACGATGAGTATGACGACGAGGAAGACAATGAACCCGAATCGCAAGCTCCTCCATCACCTAAATCCAAATCTACACCTCCCGCCCCCGAAATAAAAGCCTCGCCATCTTCTCCGCCAAAACCTTCTCGAACTCCAAGTTTAGAAAATCAAAAAGAACAGAAAAAGGATTTGTTAGAGGATATCCGGAAAAAATTAGAGCAGGATAAAAAGGAAACTGAAGAGTCGGCAAAAAGGAGCTTCCGCACAATGTTCTACACTTTGGAAAATGACCGCGATGCGATGTTAGATCAACAGAGGTTGGAAGAGTCTGAGAGGCAAGTCGAGGCTGAGATGCGAGGTCAGAGCGGGAATGACAATAATCCCACCAACGGTCAACCAGGATACGGTTCACTAAGCAGCGCCAACCTCGGGGCTTCAAGCTTGACGCTGAAGAACCTTATCGCCCGGATCGATATGAAGCGCAGTGAAGTTCAAGCTTCAGATGCTGAACTGCGCAGTTTAATGAGCGAGGTCAGAAAGAACCGTAGCAAATGGGCGAGCGAAGACAAAATCGGTCAGGAGGAGCTCTATGAGGCCGCAGAAAAGGTACTGAGCGAGCTCAAGGCCATGACCGAACACTCCAGCGCTTTCTTGACCAGAGTTAACAAGAGAGATGCGCCGGATTACTATACCAGTAAGATCAGATCCCCAGCTTGGGTGGTCACGTTCTATGCTAATAGTGTATGACAGTCATCAAGCGGCCTATGGATCTCGGAACAATGACAAAGAAGCTCAAAGCTCTTCAATACAAATCAAAACAGGAATTCGTGGATGATCTCAACCTGATTTGGTCCAACTGTTTGAAGTATAACACTAACCCTGATCATTTTCTCCGAAAACATGCCTTGTACATGAGGAAAGAGACAGAAAAGCTTGTTCCCTTAATCCCGGACATCGTAATTAGAGATCGCGCAGAGGTTGAAGCTGAAGAACGTAGACTGCAACTTGCTGAGCTTGACGGCGCTGAAGAGAGTGATGACGAGCCAATCATGTCGTCCAGAGGGCGGAAAGCAACGGCGACAAAGGGTAAAAAGGGTGCAGCGACGGGACGCAAAGCTCCCGCAAAGGGTCTTCAGGCAGCTTCTTCCGATACTAAGAATCCGGTGTCTGATGCTACCAGCACAACCCAAGATTCAACGATCGAAGGGATTCCGGGAACTCTGTCAACACCACCCCCCGGAACCCTGACGCCCGTTACTTCAAATGGTCAGGGTGCTGCTGCCACTGGGAGTCAAATGGATACTATGGATATCGATAATTTTGGGCTTGCTGCCCCAGCGTACAACAGTGCACTGTCTGGCTTGGGTGTCGAGTTCGAAGACCCTGAGTATAAGATCTGGAAGCAGGCCACCAAGAGAGATCGCGCCGTCGTGGCTGCTGAGAGACATCGGCTCTTTAAAGGGGACAAGCTGAACCCTGATGAGCCGGCTCTCCTGCGAACCAAAGCTGGTATGAGGCGGTGGCTCAGAGGCCAAAGGGAGGCATCGAATGAAGTTGACAAGCACGTTGATGCCAGGCCTGAAATAAAAGCACCTGAGACGACTGGAGAGACCTTGGCCGAAGGCATTGAGCAGGAGGAAGATCGAATGCTTCCAGATTATTATGACTTGATGTCCGCACTGCCAGACCTCCCGGAACATTTGCATTGGAACGAGGACCCCGAAGGAAATGTCATCGAAACCTCAGAGGAATTTTTAAGGATCCTCCCCAAAGGACTGTTCACTGCACCGCCTAGCAAATTTTCGAAGAAAATGGACTCAAATATGAGGCAGATGCAGGAAACGAGAAAGATCTGCTCGAAAGTAAGCATCGTGAAGCAGATGCAACAGCAATCGCAGGTATGTCTTCTGTACTCAGCTTTGGAGTATGCTCGGGTCTAATAAACTCTTCCAGATGTATCAAAACCAGTTCCAGAAGTATCAACCCGAGCCGCTCGTAGAGCAAGACGTCCATCCACATGTAATGAATGATGAAGGGCCAGTTATAAGTCCCTGGGTTTGCAGAGCTGCCCTTCAGCGATCCGTTGCAAAAGTTCTTTATCATACCGGCTTCGAAGAATACCAGCCATCAGCGTTGGACGCTGTCACCGATATCGCTGCCGATTTCTTCTTCAAAATCGGAGCCACCCTTAAATCGTACATGGAATCGCCGAAAGTTGCCAGTTCAGAGCAAGCTTCTACCTCATCAAATCAACACCAATGGAAGCGTCCTTACACCCAAGAACAAATGATCCTTCACACGCTTCAGTCGGTTGGGACAGATGTGGAAACTCTGGAATCTTATGTTAAGGACGATGTCGATCGCCATGGAGCCAAGCTTGGTGTGATCCATGAGCGTTTAAAGGCTCATCTCGCAGAGTTGCTGAGACCAGCTTTCAATGATACTGCTGGTGATGGCTCGAGTGCTTTCAACGATGGAAGTGAACAGTTTATTGGTGGTGATTTTGCTGAAGACATCGACGAAGATTTCTTTGGGTTCAAGGAACTTGGACTCGATAAAGAATTTGGTCTTTCGAGCCTGAGCGTCCCTCTGCATCTTCTCCAGAACCGGATGTATCATGCACATCAAGCTCAAAATCTAAAGTACGTTGACTTGATCACCCTGTTTCAATTGCTCTTTGCCAATACTAACTTGTTTTCAAGCTCGTCGCAAGCGGTATCTGCATTATTCCCGACTCCTCAACCCTATCCACGAATATCACTGCAAACACTCCCACAACACATCGGCTTAGTTCAAAATTTCTTCTTGGCAAAATTGCACGCCAACAACGACGAGCCACTGGTAGAAGATCTAGAACTGCCGCCAAAACAACGTCCTAACGCAGCGCGGCCCCGCGTGCCAGCGTCTGGCAAGATCCCGCCTCTAACAGGCCAGGCAGTGACTACCAGCCCTCAGAAGCGACCCGCACCACCCTCGTCGGGTATTACTGCTATCAAGTCCGGACTTTCTGAACCGAGCAAGAAGAAAGTGAAGAAGAATCCCGGTACGCTCGGTGCTACCAGTGCAGATGGTACAGACCATTCACACCTCGCCGGTTCTCACAGCCCCATCAAAGTTGAACCTGCGTCGAAATTGAACGGAATAAAAGAAAACGGGAACCCCACTGACCAAAAAGGCGATGTCAATGGTGTAGATGGTGCCGAGAATCCTACAGGGGCGTCCCAGACTACTCTATCAAACGACGATAACATGGATGTTGACAATAGCAATGCTGTAAATGGGGCTGCAGCGACAGCTTCTGCAACAGGAGGATCTGCTCCCAACACTACCGCTGTTAACGGTCACGTTTAGCGCAAGAACTTGACAACCCAGTTTTGGAGAATTCACGAATGTTCTGTGGAGGACTCCTCAGATCACTATAATCTTCGCTTGTACCTTTTTGACCATTCTGCTCATTTGAACATTGAACCTCTTTCTCACGGAGTTTATAGGATGTGTACACTTCCAATTTTTGACTTGGAGTAACATTTGGCATTGGGGACCATATCTCCTTGCTTTTCCCTTCCCAACCCCATATACCCTCATTGACAAAGCTCTAACCGCATCCTTGAACCTTTGTATATTCGTTTTCTACAATGTGTGATTATATTCCTCAATGCCTTGACTCATTTTAACGCATCAGGGTGGTTTTGGTTTGGGTTGGGTTTGGATATGTTTTCCCAACTACTATCAGGCTTGGGTTTTGCAGGCGTCTTGCTCGTTGTTTTTCTTTCTTGTCAGACAAAGTTGCTCTTTTTTTATTACTTTCACTCTCAAAATATGGCTGTGTATCCTTTTTTGGGTCCCAGGCATGTTATTTTCTTTTTGTGTGATGGCTGGCACCTGATTGGGCATTGGCAGTTACTCTATGCCTTCTTGATCCTGTGTTGTTCACGTTGTTTTTTTGCTTCTTTTTCATTGCATTTAATATCAATAAATATATGCAGATGTCATGAGTATTGATGTATAGTTCTTGCAACTAGCTCCTTTATGTGGTCATGATAACAGGAATACTTTCTCCCAGGTAGGACTTCAATAATAAATTTGTTTACACCTATTTTCTTCCTTCTAGAAATTGGTATTGCAGATCTTAATAACACCCTGTTTACTATATATGCTTGCTTTGCAACTCAGCAATAAGTTACTGGTTCAAATGAATGTAGCTTCTGAGCAGATCTCGATCGTGTAGCTCTCTCTAGACTTTCCCATTTACACCTCGAAATGGCTAGAGACGGAAAAGAAATTTTTCATTCCAGAGAGGTAGTCAAGTCATACGACAAGGGAAATCGTCTTTCTAGAGAATTACTGCCCCAGAAAATGTCTCTGTCATTCGAACACTGCCCACCTTCTACCCTCAAACCACAGGGATGTACGCCACAACTCCTGTCAACATCATATTTTCCTCAAACTTAGTAACAATAAACATTGCGCAGATATTCGCTGGAACTGTAATCGAGACAGACAAGCGCACTTCAATCCCAGCAGGCATGCCCCTCCAAGGCGGCAGATGTAGTATCTCGTAAGGCAGCAGTATCCCTGTCCTCGTACTTCTTAGCTATACCAAATACCACATAGCTCGGCCCAGTCTAGGATAATGTATCGCTCATATACCGTATTGAATAGGAGATATGGGAAAGTAATACGGTGAAAGAAGTCTCGAGTCGGTTCCGCGTGAACCATGGACGTTTTATGGTCGCATCATATTGGGATTCCCAGAACCGACTTGAAGCAAGAGCCCAGGCTGCTTGATCTCAAGGTTTGGCAATTTGGTGGAAAAATGGAAAGCGAAACTGAGAGAGTAGTTGGAACTACTGTCCCCAATACGTCGAGGACATGCATGCAGGGTATTCGTATGATATCTCCCGGGCGCTTAAAAACTACAGTGGGACGCATACAGGCCGAAGAAAAGAAACATAAGGGAACGAATAAATGAGATTTCTGATACTGGGAAACCAGCTACCTGCAAAATTTCAATCGAAGGCATTGAGGCTATAGTACAGAAGCAAAAGCCTAAAGGACAATCTTGTCGCTTGTTTCAGGCATTCCAAGTAACATGTTCCCAATCAAGAAATCAGTTCCCAATTTCCGATCCTTCATCGTACCCGGTCCCATTATGATGACAGGCGAATGACGAGCTCATGAGGCGAAGATCGGTATCATGAGCAATTTGCCCGTGGGCCATCCGTCAAAAATGGAGATGACTAGGCGCAATCTAGGCATTACCTTGAATCAAATGTACCACATATTAAAAGCAAGTCTGTCCACTGAGGGCATTGCAAGCAATCTAGGCGCCTCGCTTGGTTTTGGTCCTGGGGGCGGTGGGTTATTCAACTTGATACCAGGGCCTGACCGTGGACCCGAGCTTGCCGGGACATTCTCGTGTGATCTTGCACGGTTTGAGGCAATATGAGCGTAGTAAACTGCAGGAACTACGGTAGTGTGTTAGCCTCGGGAACTTTAAAGAATAAAGAGCATACCTACACAAAGACACAGAAGTCGTCGACCGCATATACTGATAACAATGCTCATAAACCATATTTTGGAGCTTATTTGGCGAGCTTCCAATCTCGTCAATAAGGACTTGATAATGTACGGGTCGGGAGGTTCCTTGAAGAGCGATATGAGACCACAAGAAGAAATCGTAGCCGTGGGGGTTTGTAACATCTCGTTCAACAAGAGTGCCCGGGAGTGAATTCGCATTCTTATCCGCGGCGTTACGGTCGTGGGGGTCCGGGAAAGCTCGGATATGGTGCCTCTTCGAGCAAATAACAACGGTGAGCTTGCCCTCCCATTCTTTACCCATGGCGATTTCCTTGAAAATATCCTTGATATGTCGAATCTCGCGCTGGAGGATGTGCTGCTGCTGTCCCTCAGATACACCGTCACGGAAGTAATAAAGGTTCTCGGGATTTCGACCATTTCCAATGTTCATCACCCACTCACGGATGAGAGGGCTCAAAATTTCTTTAATGTTTAGGGGGCTAATAATTTCACGGCGCTCACCGTTAGTTTCGCATCCAGCAGTGTAGCGACCACCGAAAGTGTCCATGCACACTGTAAAGGACGCCATGCTTGGCGCATAACTTCCTGGGGACGAGTGGGAAACATCTGCACCAATTATCATTGTGAATGGTGGCAGAGATGTATTGTAGCGCGAATGAGATCGGGCAGTGGTCCCGCCGAGTTTCGCGTTTATTTTCATTAAAACGTTCGAAATGTATTGACCGCTGCCTTTGACAACTTGTCGTCCCTGTAAAACCTGAGAAGGGACTCCAAAGCGGCAGTCGCACGACTTTTTGATTCGCAAATAATGGAAGCTATGGCGATCTTGGACAATTAATATCAGAAGTTGAGGGCGCTGATTGTAATTATTTCCAACCGCGTTATACAAGTCATAGACGGCCTTGGCAGGGTCCTGTGGGAGTTCCATGATGAATGGTCGCTTGGTTTCGACAATACCGCCATGACCTTGATACGTCCGAACGAGGTTATCACAGAACGCCTCGACTTGAGGTCCATTGATAGGATGACGTCCTTTGAAGTACCCAACGCCCCATGATTTTAAGGGTCTGGCGTTTGGCAAATAAAATTTCTTCCCCCGCAGATCCCAACGACCATTTGTCCCAGGGTTGCATTTCTGATTCCCTCCAAAGAGAATCTCAGGGTTTGGAAGAAGACGAGCTTTGGTTCTCATCATGGAATCAGCAACTTTAAGGCCGTATTCTTTGAGAATAGGATCCTCGGAATGCCGCAGATTTATCTTGCAGCGCTCAATGGCCTGGCGCCTTTCGTTTGGTTTGGATGCCGCGAATTTTATCATTTCAGAGGTCTGAAATTCATTGAGCTTGAATGGATATTTTTGCGCCCGGTAGACTGCAAGGAGTTCCATGGGATAAACAACGCTACCTTTGGTCATTCGGACCACAGGAAGTTGCCAGTAGTCGAGAATAATACTGTATTTCTCCTTGAAGTAATCGTAAATATTCATTGTACGAGACTTACCAGTGGCACGATCTTTGACGTCGAATGTATACTGCTTCGCATTTACAAGGAGAAATTCCTTGATGGTCCATTCCTTCCCAACGCACGGGCATCCACGATAATTGGCCTGGACTCTGAGTTTGTGCAATCTATTGAGTAACTGGAATTCTTTTGAAGGCTGATGACCTCCATATGGATCTTCAACTGGCTTCGAATAATGCATCAACTGTTGGACGTCGCGCAGGTCCATAAGTCCAATTGCCAGACCGATCAAAGAATACAAGGACCAGAAACATGAATTGGAAACGTCGACATTTACCGCCAATCTGCCGGGCTAGAGAAAAGTGTTAGGAGATAAAATTCGGTAGTTAACGATCATGATGGATCTTACATGAACCGCACGAATGGCTTGGTAAATTCCCTTGTATGCAAAAACACCACACCCGAGATCATGCTTTGGGTTATCCTCTGAGAAGAAAGACCTTTTGATTGGAATAAAGGTTCTACTTGGGGTTTCTCGCAGAAGGTGATCGAGGAAATCTTGAAGAATATTAGAGTCGATATTTGATATAGAATATGTTGGACAACCACTTACTGAAAGCTTCTTGAGCATCCTCTTTCAACGGCATAGTGCCGCGCACATATTCATCAAGAACTGCCAAATTGATCTTCTTGGTGGGTCGGACAACAAGGCGGAAAACATTTTTCCCATTTGAACCAGATCTTCCCGCTTCGGCGTCCAGGTCGATGAGCACATTCACATCTTGATTCAACTTGTTTGTGGACCTGACAATCACCATCAGTACCTGCCAATAGGGCCGAAGTAGATTTTGCTCACCATGCCAACTTATTGCCGTCAAAAATCCAGAATTTACCAAGTTTATCTTTTCTGGTTTTGGCATTCCACACCTTGTCTACAACAGCACGTTTTTCGGCGCCGTTTCCAATCAAAACCTAACGAGAGTGTAAGTATACCACATATAAATTGTATTGGGGCGGGGAAACATACATCATATTGATATACCGTTTTATTCGGGAATTGAATGATTGGGTACGAATTGACCGAAACGGTAATCTCCTTGCCGGTGGTATTAAACCCCGGGCGTTTGACAAGAGTGATATTTTCGAAATACTTGTCAGGGTCAGTTTCATAGAAAGTCCAGTTGCGCACATTGAATTGGTCATAAACATCATAGGTTGGCTCGGCTTTTTGCTTGCCCTTGTCTTTGGCGGCCATGTTGTTGGACATTATGCAAAATGGAAAGTGATGAAAAAACTCGAGAAATAAAGGAAGATGGAGAATTGGTAGATCAGAGGGATATATCGAGGGGTAAATTCCTAGAAAACGAAACAACGTAGTAGTAGAGGCGAAGCTGGGAATCGAAAGATGCAAGAGTAGAGCACAACCCAACCTGGAGGCAGAGATCGGGGCAGGAGGCAGCCTGTGTGGGAGGAAAGAGTAGGAAAGGAAGAAAGAGAAAGCGGGAGAGAAAGGGCCTTTTATGCTTGAGAAATTGAGATCATGTGGGCATGCAATTAGTAGCTTAAGAGGCATAAGTGAATGAAAGGTGAAATGAATTAGTAGCGGAGAAGGTGGTTATGTGAGGAATTACCCATCCAAGTTGTGCTAAATTAGCTGCAAATGGGATGTTCAGGCGAAAGTGAAGCAAAAGTGAATGGGGTCAAAAAGCGGTAGAGGTAGAATGAAATAAGTATTCACTGCTAGATGTGGTAAGGCAAAATGGGCCACTGTTAAAAAGTAAAAGTAGCAGAGAAGGGTATAACCATGGATATGCCCAGTGAGGAGAAAAAGGGTGAGATTTATTTCAAAAAAGGTCACAGTTTATCGGAGGGTAAGCTAGGATGCTCAGGTACCCCGATATAAAACTAAAGCTTACGTACCGAAGAACTAAATTTAAGTGAAAATTCTATATCATGGCACATATCAGTGTCGCGAGCTGGGTCAAGCATCTGATTCGAGGCATTGCTTTGCGGACTAAGTGGTCCTGGGCCTGTTTCACGACCAAGAGCTGGCGATTTTATGGGGGGGAAATTCATAGGAGTATTAGCCGGAGCGGACATGACTCCAGCGTTCACTGGCTGACGCCCTTGATTCGAAGGTCCATCGTATTGTTCGACTGCAGTGCTCTGAGGCTTTGCCGCAGAGTTGGTCGTGCCACCGTGTCGGCGGCGGCGTTTGGACGCGCCAGTCATTTGCTATGAGGGGTGCCTGAGAGGATAATATGGGTTCGTCAGTGTTTACCTTTCGAAAATCATTTCTAATATGGGAGACTTTCAAAGCCGACAGAGTCATAGAACTGAATGTGTCTGAAGAATGATTCTTAAAACAGAGGATCTATATGCAAATCGCATAGCATTGATGTGTTGCCGTACGCAATGTGTTCGAGGCACGCTTCAGCAAATGCCGTGGCACAAAACAGAGCAACGGTTTATCCCAAAATCTCTTTATGGGCAAACAATGGCATGCGAAAGGAGTACGCTGCAATTTTCATCCAGAGAAAGGGAAAGGGCGAGAGACGCGGAAAAAGCAACCCTGTCTAAATGCAGAGCATATGTTTGGGGAGAGATATATGGCACAGCAACTACGCATTCTGCGCGTATGGTGCAGAGAAGGCATCGATAAACACTGAACGAGACATGTCGGGGATTGAGCTAGGGTAATGACTGGATACTGGCAAAGAGCAGACAGCCTTTGAAAGCTTCGCAAGACAGAGCATGAAACGGGCTCTGGAGCGGGGCGGCGGAAGCAAGGAAAGCCCACTGACCTTTCAGACTCAAGGAGTCAACTAGGACCGCGTCGACACGCCTTCGCACAAACAGAATTCCGAACAAAAGGCACTCGAAAAGCAAACTCGAACTAGCATGCACAGCGAAGGGATAAAAGAGAGATGGGATGGAGATGTAAGAGAAAAGGAAGAAGAGAGGGTGGAGGATGAGGGTGGATGAAGAGAGAGGAAGAGGGAAGAGGGAAGAGGGGAGGATGGTCTGCTGTTGTCGTTGTTGCTAAGGGAAAGACCACACATGTGACAAGCACTGTCCCAACTAGGAAACTGTCAACATTCGCTCTGAACAGCCGCCCAGCAACCCTCTTAGCGGCAACAACGGCCTGGAAGTGTTGCCGAGCCACAGTTCCTGGAACGCATACAGGAGCGCCACGAAGAACACGAGCTTCCTCCCTTCACTGACCAGGCTGCACCCACAAATATCGCGCGTGAAGGTCCATCACGGCTGTGCTGCTTCGATAACAGAAGGTATCTATGGAGTACATGTTCACTGCATACATGGCCTCCCTAGTGAGGCTGCACGGGCTGTACACTTGAACCAGATGGTGTGCTTTGAAGCACTCAGCGCACATGCCAGCTTCAGCATCATATTATTCAGGATGAAAGCTTGGAGCTCAACGAACAGCCCCAGGAAGAATGGGAATAGTATGTATGCAACTTCATACATACATGCTGTACATGACATTATGTGAGAAAGCAATGTATCCTAAACATTGCGGGCTTTTCCTTGTCTTGTTGAGTAAGAAGGGTGCTGGCTGATTCAAGAGGTTGTGGTGCTGTGCTGGATGATGTTTGTACTGTGTAGAGATTCATGCTGCTTTTACAATTGCTGGTGTCGACCCATTTCAGCCTTTAAAACAGCGACACCTTCTGCAGCAAGTGATGATCCATGTCAACTTTTTGCATATTCTTCAAGCTCAAATGAATGTAAAAAGCACACATAAGGCCTAATCTGAACTTTGTCATTCAAGTATTTTTCCTATTGTACAAATGTCCATCACAGTGACAACACAGCACCCATCATACAATTTCCCAACCAAGAGCAACGGCGAGAAGAGGGGTAATAAACAACAATGATCAACGCCTAACTGATGCAGAAAACCATAAAACAAATCTCAAGGACAAGCAGCTTCGTGGGCAGATTGAGAAATAAACTGCAGAGATGGCCAGAGTGGATGCAAAGGCTTAAGTTCCACCAAGGCAGAGGGAAGGAAAGATTCAGTTTCCAGAGTAAAAGAGCATATTCATCCAGCGTATCTTAGAAGTCATCTAGGATCTTGATAGCCATTGCAACAAATCGAAACATAAACAAGGACATTAAGCCCCAAGGTATGGAGAGAAAGCCAGTACCAGAGGAAGGGGTTTTCTCAGTATCCTTCTGCTCCGCAATTCTAAGCAAGCATGAAGGAAACTCGAGCTTTGGTTCAACTACCTACCACCGTATTGAGGACGTCCAGCACCCGTCGGATTGTGAATAGGTGGTCGTAACTGTGAAACTGAAGATGGGATATCAACCTGCCTAAGCAAATTTACCATATTCTCCGGTATAAACCTCACTGAATCATAGGTCGACGCCGGAGGGATAATACTGAGAAGGTAGACGATATCCCTCGGAAGCGGTTGTGCTTGTGCTGGCGCTCGTGCCTGGCCGACGTTGTTTGCACCGCTACCGTTGGCTTGGTGTCCTCGTTTCTGATCCAACCGTCTACCCGCAGCACCTTTCAATGGCGACTCTGCTCTCATGAACTTTCGAGGTCGGAAGTCGTCATCGAGATCGTCCACTGGGAACGCACGCTTGGGAGACAGGTATACGGGGCCTGCAGGTGACTCCTGACGTGAATGGAATTCCTCGAGCGGAACGTCCTGTTTTAGTCTTGTTTGTGTGGGGGAGATGATGAACTGAGCGGAAGTAGGGTCAAATAACGGTCCCGAATAACGATGAGAAAACTGTTGCAAAGTAGGGTCTTCAGGGAATAGCTCTCTCATTCTCTTCTCCAAACTGATAATTTGTGTGAGATCACCGTAACGGGATTCATATTCATGGAGAAATGCAAAAATGGGTTTTGCTTTTGCAACGTTTTCAGGGTTTGACGCTAGTCTGCGGACTGTGGTCTCGAAGACCGCTCTTGCATCTAGACGGATTAGTATCTTACTGCTGAAATTCTCAAGAAAAAGAGTGGTAAAACATACTGGTAACGTCATTTATATCGATGAGGTGCTTTAGATATTCCAGCGCGAAATTCTCGTCCTCGGGGAAGAGTTTTGCTCCTCGCTCAAAAATCTTTGTTGCCGCCGGGTCTTTGTAGCAGTGATATTCTATGAGTGCACTGGCGATATACACATCACTTGTGATTCGCCCACGTTTGCGTGCATCGGCAAAGATCTGTCGAGACCCAGCAATTTCACCCGGCTTGCCTTTGCCCTGGATACGACGCATGGCCCGCATGAGTGCAATCCAGGCATATGATATCGTTTTCGAGAGCAGCCGGATATGTTCGCCATGGGTTTTCTTCGCCGTTTCAATTTCAGCAGCTTTTGCAGCAGTCTTTGCCTTCGATTCATGACTTTCGTCTTCTTCTTCTTCTTCATCGTTGCCTCGACCAGTGGGCTGCATGCCTTCTTCTGCAAATTTTTCTTCGATCTGTGCAATATCCTGTGCCTCCTTCACTTTCGCTTTCGTGATTAGGTCATAGAGGGCATCAAGGAGCTTGTCGTATGGCTCCCTAACCAGTGTGCCGCGTTTTGAACGATCTTGTTCGGAAGCAGTTGTAATTTCAAGCTGATCACCACGCTTGAATGCAAGCAGGCAGCTCTCAGGATTTGCTTCAATTCCTTGCTTTAGCATATCGGTTCCCTCGGCATCCATACCGTTTTGGAAGCAAAAGTCTGCTGCCTCAAACCACAAGTCAGGCATGAACCTCAGCGCCATAAGCGCCTGTTTGTAAACATATAATACACGAGATTTATATGCTCCGGCGTCTTCTTCCTTAAGTACCAGCGGGTCGTCTTTCTCCCATTTAATCCAGCGTTTCCAGATTCCAACCTGTTTCATATACTCTGCATGACCGGCAAATCCAGGAGCAGGGGGCAACTTGGCCAGCGAGGCTCGGACCAAATCCCGAGTAATATTTTGCAATTCAGTATACGAGCTTCGTGCTGTCATGTACGACGGGGATCTCTCTTGCAAAAATTTACGACCCTAAATATTCAGTGCCAAACCAATAAGCATTGCCCAAACAAAAGAGGTTTTCGCAAACGAAGATTATACCGTTAATTTGTTGAGACCCATCTCAAATTGATCATACTCTTTCCAAAGGGTATTGACTGCTTGCATTGGGACACATATGGCTCGCTGATATGATTTTCTGAGTAAATCCATCTTTTGTTGATCCTGCCAGCCAGACCCACCGATGTTTCCGGGTCCGGACCTGATAAATTGAATGTAATCCACCCAAACTGGCCCCGAATCCTTATCAATTCCAATATTTTGCAACGCAAAATCGTAAGCCGAGGAAATAATACGCCGTGCTTGACCAGTCGTATCCGTTGTGAGATTATTACGCCGTCGAACATAGTCGAGATAAACGGACCACAGCTGGACACTGGGAATGTTTAAAAGACTTTTGTTGAAAATCTGTTCCAAACGGTAAAGTTCATTATGTTCGGACTCCATACTAGCATATGCTACCCATTGCTCGGCCTGCAGATCGATGGTTAGAGCATAGTGAATCACAAATAGGTAAAGCGAGCTACTTACTGCCCATGGAAACACTTTGAAAAACCTCTCATAGACTTGACGTGCGCTGTCGAGTTTGTTCCGACTGCGATGTTCGCTGATTAGCTCTAACCATGCTTCTGTATCGCCACGGGGATCGGCTTGGATTCTATCCTCCAAAATTCCGACTCGGTCATGCGGCAAACGGCCTTTTGACACCGGTGTTGGAATGGGAGTGGCAGCGATAGAGCTGTTGGTTGATTGAGCAATAGAAGGAACCGCCAGAGCTGCCTCGTCAGGCTTAGAAGCGGTATCACTCTGAACTGGAGCACCAGTCGGAATAGCAGTAGAAGACAAGTTATTGGAAACATCATGAGGAGTGGTTTTTTCTGAGACAGTCTGTTGCTGCGATACATGAAATGGAGAAACAATTTCATTAGAATTCTGAGAAAAAGAACGCTGTTGTATATCTGCAGGAGTTGATGTCGTATCCTGAACATGATCTAATGCTCCTGGTGGTTCATATTCAGCATCACCTCCGTCTCCATCACCAACTTCCTCTTCTTGAACATCCCCAGCTGTCGCTTGACTGTTCGCATCCACAGCAAGGCCGGAAGGGTATGCCGAAGCTGAGGTTCTGGATTCGGATCTGGAAGGCGATTTTGAAGGGAATGCGCCACCTGGATCTTGAACCTGAGAGAAATCATGGGAGACATCCCCCCGCTGCACAGAATCGGGAGCAGAATACTCAGAAACACGAGAATAACTTGGCATGGTAGTTTGGGGATTGGCTAAGCCTGTAGAAAACTCGTTTTCCACTGTCTTTGAAGGGTCATATTCATCTGTGTCTGAACCGTTTGCCCCCTGATCGTCACCAGTTTCATAGTTTTCCATATTCAATGCTTGAGATCGAAAAAAGGCACGCTCAGCTTCGTCTTCAGCCATGTTGAAACGAATCGAGGGCCAATGCCCAAAGATCTTTGCCTGAAGGAAAAAATGAACCTTGTATTAGTAGGGTCGTCTACCAGCTGCAGCTTGTAGTTAGAGGACTCACAGAGAGAATTAGGACCAGTGGATTGAGGGAAAATGCTGATAAAAAATTATTTAGAGATGAAGAAACAGGGAAAAGGAAGAGCAGATACCCGAAGGAAGAGTCTTTCAAGGGAGGGTCGTGTTGTTCGTCTGGCTGATGCTCGGCCTCAGTTGCTTGCGCCTCTGGTTGACTGAGCGCCATGGTTGGAAAATCCGGTGGGTCACGTGAAGAGAGAAAAAATCGCGCTAAGAACCAACGCGGGTTCTTTCACCTTGGTCCCACGCGTTCCCATTTAATCCATTTTCACGTTTCCTCTCAGCAATCGATATATACTTGTGTCAACTCTACAGATTGGTGAAATTCAAATTCCATCATTATCTTTGAAAAGATTTGATTGCTGCTTGACCCAACGAGTCTTCATCTTTTACCTATGTCTGTGGTTTCTCTCCTCGGCGTGCGGGTTCTGAATAACCCTGCAGCGTTTACTGCTCCCTACGAGTTTGAAATCACGTTTGAATGTCTTGAACAGCTTCAAAAAGGTAAGCTACTTATTTGTCACGTTGTTAAATTGCTACAAAGTTTAGAGCACTGAAGATTTTCAATTAGACTTGGAATGGAAGCTCACCTACGTCGGCTCCGCAACGTCGTAAGCTCGACCCCTCGTTGCTGGTAGTCCTTTCCGAAGTCTCAATGACTAACGCCCAAAAGGTCCGAATATGATCAAGAACTTGACTCTCTATTGGTCGGGCCCATTCCTGTCGGCGTCAACAAGTTCATATTTGAAGCCGATCCCCCAGATCTTAAACGGATTCCCACGTCAGAAATACTGGGGGTTACAGTGATATTGCTGACGTGCAGTTATGACGGGCGAGAATTCGTTCGCGTTGGGTATTATGTGAACAACGAATATGATAGTGAAGAACTTAATAAGGAGCCCCCTACCAAACCCATCATCGAGAGAGTGAGACGCAATGTATTGGCAGAAAAGCCTAGAGTTACGCGTTTCCACATCAAGTGGTACGTAATTCTACACGACCTGCCTACACAGGATTGTAGTGAGGCAAGACGCTTACCTCTGAATAGGGACACCGACTCTGACCCAACTGAGTTCCCCCCCGTACAGCCGGATGCGGATGTTTTAGAAGATGACGGAGAGACGTATGGAGCTGAGGAGCTTGAACTCGAAGCCGCTCTCAAACGAGAGCTCGAGGAGCTAGATAGTCAAGATGCCGACAAAATGGACGTTGGCGAAGGTCGCGACGATGTCGATGACAACGAATCAGACGCTGGCAGCGAAGACTTGGAAGGCGAAACCAGTGGCAGTGATGACGAAGAAGAAGAAGAAGGCTTCGAAGGAGAAGACGAAGACGTTGAAATGGGTGATGACAGTAATCCTACGCCTGATCAACATCAGCACCCTAATCCTGAAGTTATGGTCCATTGAATAGCGTGGCTTGACCACCAACTTATGACCATTTCCACCCGCATCCTTTTACATGAATTTCTTTTTGGTTTTACGCAGCGAGAAATGATTCATACACTTATGTCCCCTGATATTAACATACCCTTGCGCGCATATTTCCCTATGCAAACCTGATATATACCTACACAATTGCCACATTGATTTACCGGTTGATTTATGAAATACATACATAGTCAGTTAGGACGCACAGCAGTCTCTTCGCGGATGTATCCGTGTGAACATCAGAAATCGAGGCATACAATCATTAACTACGTACGGTAATCCTAGGATATCATTTACAACCCATAGCCCCCATTGTTTGGTTAAAAATATTCAAACAGCGGAATCCCATGAAACTCGCAACTCAAACCTAACAAGCTTAGCTTTAAAATCCAAACTTCGAGCCGATAACTATAATCAAACATTAGCGATGTTGATATTACAATCTGACAGTTACTCCATCCTATACTCACCACCCAAGACAGCTTTCTTCTTTTGATTTCTGATAAATTTGTTCACGTCATCCGCAAACCCGCTACTGTTTTCTTCCAGCCGATCCATGTTGTCTCCCATGATGCCAAGCCTCTCGGTTCTTTCCTGCATCTGCCGCTGCATATATGCCCAATATCCCTCTTGGGACTCTTGCTCTGTCGAGGAGGTCGGGCGGGGGCGGTTCTGGTGACTGGCAGCTTGTCGCTCTTGTTCTTCAAGGCGCATCTGCTCCAGCATCCGTTTCGATGGAGGTCGGTCAGGGCCGCCAACTAGAAAATTATTGTTTAAAAACCATTTCCATAGCGCGATATCGAAACACTAGTACGTACTTAAAAGATCCATATCGCTAGTGGACACATACTGGGTGCCAGATATCCACTGAAGGTTGGAGATAGTCGGTCGAGGTGGGACTATCAGTTCGGGATTAAACAGAATGTCCGCACAACGATCCCTATAGATATTAGCTTGTCTCACAACCAGGGAGAGGAGAGAGGTAAACGTACAAATGTAACCCAGCACCCCATACGAAGACCATAGCCACCTCGGAGGGTCCAACCCAACCAAGCACATCACCCGAGGACGTAATACATGCGTCGCCAAACTTACACACATCCAAAATCTTATCAATAGGGGCAGAAGCGATTTCTTTCAAACCCGGGATCGAGTAGGCTCTAGCCTTCCCATCACCAAATAATCCCACCAAACTATAAGCGTCTCCCCTTCTTACAACCGTCGCGGAATCGCACATGAAGTCATCCCAGCTCTTATGAGCCCCCTTTGAGCTAGAAGGCTTAAACATACGACAACCCGAGGGACTCACGGCAACAACGATACCATTGACCTTATATCCACTTCGTAAATTTGACACAGCTTGTTGCGTAGCTAAGGCGTGCTGGCCATTTTCAGCGTTGATGGGGCATATAGTTAATACCCGATCATCCAGCGAAGTAGAACCGACAAACGACACCGAGTAACCATCTGAAGACGGCAATATTTTGAAAGTGGCTAACCGGCCCCTACTGGTACCAACGAAGCAAACGATGCTCGAGTAATCTACTGATGTCAGTTCCTGGAAAATCTAATGAAGCAAAACAAACGCGACATGAAGATAACTGCCGCAGATCTAGAGAGCCTTACCATCCCCTTCTAGGCTAAGAACACCAAATTCGATACACGTCGCCCATTCAGCTGCTGTCTCAATAGATCCGTGGCTTTTCATTAGACTTGTTCTTCGATGTTGCTTCCCAAAGTCGGCAGGGCTGGCCGTGTGAATTATCTTAGGGCCCCGTAAATCAACGAAAACAATGCTTCCTGACTGGTATCCGGCGCATACAAAGCCCACATCGCTGTGTTTTAACGCTGTGACAGGTCCTTGGCGCTGATCGAGGAGAATTATGGGAAGGAATCCCTCCTTTAAGCCAGGGTCGGTTCTGTGGGATATATTTGTGACAAGTCCGGGGCCTTCATTATGTCCCAGGGGTAAATCGTTTCCGACATTCTGGTTGCGGTTCCATCTAAACACAACTAGTTCGCCTGACTTTAATCCAGCGGAAAATTCTCCCGCTGCTCCTGCTAACGACATTTGTGTCACCTCAATGTTTTGATAGCGTCCCACCGCACGGGCAAGATCAATCTGAATGATAGTAGGATTCTCGATTTCATCATCATGGCCTGTATCCCACATGCGAATAAGGCCATCCGCATGAGCCATCTGGGCAATATCACGGCTCTCAAACCGCTTCATATGACGCTTCGCTTCGGCGCCTCCATTAAGGAACTTAGGGCCCAGCGAACGTTTTTCTCTCCAGCCCAACCACCTAGTCCGGTCAACGGAAGAGAGTGCCATTTTGGTAACAAACGGATGAACAAATGAAAGCGATAAATGAAGCATATTTGTGGGTGTAATAGGATGGCCACTTGGAAAGCTCAAAGTAACCAGTTCGCCTGATGACAAGAGAGCCAAGACTGCAATTGGGTCTTGCGAGCCGGAAAAATGCGGCGAGGACCGAGGAATTAAGCAGAAATTAACAACTTCTGCATTAGGGGGAGTTGGCAATCTGGTCTCACGCTTTGGAGATGCGAAATGATTAGAAAGAAGCTGCCACGATGATGTCTGGTAATTTGGAGTGGGCCCAAGGTCAAAGAAGGCCAATCCTTTGGTTTGCTGAGTGGTTGGAGAGCCTCCCGCGATAAGCAAGCCAGTATCGTCGGGGTTCTCTTTGCAACACCACGCCACATGCAAGATTGGCTCCTTCAAAGCAAATGTCTCCGGAGTGGAACCTGGTGTTCTTGATGCAGACCCAGGCTTGTCTACATCTATATCAGTAAGAGTCCTGGCCATCACAATCCTACCATCCTTCGGATCCCAAAATACTAGACTAGAGTCATCATGTGCAGTAAGGATAAATGTGCCTGTAGGGTGCCAGATAGCCTTCGTTATTCTGGGTCTTCGAATATCTCTCAGGGAGGAAGGGTCAGAACTCCCTCCAGGAGCACCAGGGGGAAGCTCAAACTGGAAGTATTTCACAGGCTTGTTTTGCTTGACGGAGAATATCACAGCTCCATCGGCATATCCAATCAAAAGAGTCCCAATATCTCGCGGATGGAATGCCAGAGATACGATCGGAAGCACTCGGGCTCGCGGGTTGCGCTCCTTCCAAAAGTTTGGGAGCTTAAAAGGTGCTGGTGCCCATCGATCCAAGTCATACGCGACAACCTCACCTACAACATACGTGAGCGCCTATCCAATAGAGTATGGGGGATTAGTTCAAAGTACCGTTTTGCAGCCCAATGAATGCGTAATCTAGGCATGGATCTGTCAAGAGGGCTGTGACCAGTCCTGGGGGTGCGTAAGAAGCCACCAATTTTTTCTCCACGAGAGAAAACACGCAGACTTCATTTTTCGAGTCTACACTGACTAGCTTATCGGCAGAGAACTGAAGGATGGTAGAGGAAGCTTTGCGGGGAAGTGGGAAAACCACAGAAACTCTCTGTTGTCCAAAGATGTAGATTTCTCCACTCCCATATTGTGTTTCGCTTGTTCCAACAGCGAGAAGAGACTGTACTGGATCATATGCCAGAGCGCTGATACGGGAGTTTATTCCGTAGCGGGCGACCTAATTTGATAGCAAACGTGTTAAACCCCCGGCGCCGGTAAAAGGAAGCAAGCTTGGGATACCTACTTCATCCAGCATAAAGAGCTCTGGAAATAGTCCCGCAGACAAATCATTTTGGATACCAGCCTGCTTGCCTCTTAAGAAGTGGGCCATGTTTCATGAATTCGAAACAGCCAAATGAACCGGATGCATGTGCTCTTTGGACATTGACGACGAGATGATTGGAAGCTGATCCAACTCCACAGCACGAGATCGTTATCAGATAAGGTCACGTGAAGATAAAGACAGCCTTCCAGTACCTAGTTGGGTAGCATGGAGTAGGTGTAGCCGCTTCACACATCTACGGAGTACGGAGTACATGCCGGAAATTCTGTTGGATGTGATAGACCTTTGGGACAACAAAGTCGACAACGGTGTATTGGTAGATTTTTTTTCTTTCAGAACAAGGATTGTTTGAGTTACTTATTGACGAGTCCCTGGCATATATCGGGCTTCTTTGAGGATGAAAACATATTTGGTTGCTTGTTTTAACGCAGTATAGTCGAAAAGGGTTGAATCAAACCAGGTTCAATCTAGTAAGTATTTCGGGCACTTGGCCCACTACCGAGCGATCTGCTTGCGTTGCAGCAGCGCTGCGTCTACCTATTCCGATGTGAAAGTATCGTCTTATTCTGCTAACAGTCACGCGATCTGCTTTTACAAAGCTCACTCATTCCCCGGGAGCCGTAAGGTCAGCCATCCTCACGCGGCCCCTGGAAAGGCGTGAAAGCGTCTCGAGGAAAAACATAAAACTGTATTCCCTCTGTCCATGTGGAGGGCCGTGACCTGGGACCCGCAGGAAAGACTAACTATCCGCAGATGATTTACTCTCAGATTCTTGGCTACAAATATAACCAAGTTGATGATTGCTTAGAGCCCAGTGGGCAGTCAGTAGTCTCGGAAATATGCTCTTTGGCTGATTTAATAAACACTCCCGAAGAAATCCCTTGAATGTTCCGGCATTGACAAGGACGGACACGAAGATCGGGCAATACTCCGTATTCTGACCAAATTGGAAGGTCACATTTGCACCGAGCTCTACAATATGAGAGGGAAAGGCCTAGAGGAGCTTCGCGTGGTTGTCATGTTATGGCAGCATTTGGTTAGGAAACATTAATCATCTAGGAAATTTTCTCTCGTGGAGTTGAAAGCTAAGGCCCTTCGTGCTGCCGGGTGTACTTTTATTTTCTTTTTCTTTTTTCCTTTTTGCAGCAACACTTCAATAACATTGGCCTCGGAGTTTACCATGTCAAGAAGACATGATACTGGTAAAAACCTTTCTGCTCCATCTTTTATCTTAGTTCTGTTTTGCTTTACTCTGTACTCTCCTTTCCATAACCTATCTACTTTAACGGACATATATCCTTTGCCTCGGTTCTCCATATCAAGTCCTTCAAGTATCCTCATGGGTTTATGATCAAAGAAGGTGAGCAATTTTCATTCGAATAAGGCCTTCTAATATACCGGGACCAAGAGGAAGTATTGTTTAGCTTGGATATCTTGGGTAGGCTGGAGAGTAATGATAACCTATCTATGAAATTCGCTGCAGGAACGCCACTCTATATATGCTTTTCTGGAATACACATGGCTTTATGTCAAGGTCACCAAATAACCGCCCTTAATTAAAACTTGAGTAGAGGTCCAAACCGCCCGAAACAAGAAAAAAGAAAAAAGAAAAAAAAAAAAAAAAAGAAAGCGGGTACCAGGACAGAGTCAGGGGTACTCCAGAGTTGATAAAGTTGCAAGATGGGCTGTCAATACCCGCCGAGCCGCCAGCTCTTCATCTTCTTCACGGTTTCGATAGTATTGTCTCGCGACTTTAAGGATATTGCGATAACAGGAGTATCTGTTCTATATGAGCTATTGGACCTCTTCAGGTACGATGATTGATTTACTTACAGTAATAATCGAATTGGAGCAGACTTCGTCTCTATCAAATCGGATCCAAAGCCGTCAAGGAATTCCGGAGAAGGAGAGTCAAATACGTCGGCCATCAATGGGTCGCCCCACAGTGCGCTGTCAAAGTCCACAACACCGGCCAGCTGCTTTGTTTCCGGGTCGAGAATGATATGGGACGGCTTTCCGATATCCAACACCACTAATTGTGGCACCATGACATCGTCAAGGGCTTTGGACAGTCGACCTGCATGCTGCCGGATTTCAGGGTAAGGTAGAGATATAAACACATTCTCCGCATCCCACATGAGAGAGTCGAGTAAAGATAAAAACGCTTGTCTCCAGGTCCGGGTCCCAATTCCTAAGGCGACGCTGTGCACGAGTCCAAATTGAGAAGAAGTATGCCGTCCAATGGATTTAACAACAGCTCCTAGTTGCCGATCGAGGCACTTTCGCTCATCCGATGTCAAAGGAGAGTCAATCTTAGATAGCGGCTTTCCTTTAACTGAGCGTCTTAGAAGGTATCCTGTTCGCGGAGGGAAACCGGAAAGATCGGTTTTCAGGGGCTGCGGAATACCCTCCACCCTGCTCTGCCACAATAGAGAGAGAACCTCTGCTTCGGTTTCGAGGAGGAATCGTTCGTGGCGGAGGACTGATGGAGATGACAAGGGGCGGGTCTTCAGGACAAGTTCAAGGCCGTTTGATATTTGAAGAAAATGGATGGGATATGTAGAGCCTTCTGTCATTCTTATGCTTTCAATTTGTGCTCCAGGGAATAGTGACTTGACAAGGCGCTGGAAGGCCGAAAAATCGGGACCTGGGTCCACGGAGCCTTTGCAAAGGGTGGAAGACATGGTGAAGCTGGAAAATGTGAAAGGATAGGCGGCTGTCATGTCTTGGGAGAATAGGTTTAATAAATGCCGGTGGAAATAAAAGCTGCGGGTCGTATAATGACCCTCGCTACCCAGGAGACGATCCATGACGGTGGAAACGACGGCAAGTCGTGAAGCTCGAACACTTACTTACAAGGAAAGATGTGGCAGTAGATAACTCAAAACAAGCTATCTTCTCTCTTTTAAAATATACTCGATACTCTCGCAAGTATATATATTTGCATATACTTTAACAAGATCAAATGGACCGCCTGGTGCAGCTAAGCAGCCGCAGGCTGCAGAGTCTCAGCAACACATCGGTAATGAATACTGGATTCAGCAAGAAGCGAACAGCAATATGGTCCCCAGCGGAACACACATACTGCATTGTTGGCTGTATTGGAAAGGTCCTCGGTCCTCTCATCATTAAAGGAAGACGAGCAGTGGTGGATGGTGCACGGAAGGCTCAAGGACGAAAGCGAGAAAAAGACAGGGAGCCTATTAGATCACTCTGGTGACAGTCGCAGTGCTCGAGAGCCACGGACCAGAAGCGAGAAATGACGACAGCTAGCGGCATGGCGGATACAATGTGGATATGCTTGCAAATTACGTTGCGGGAAGGCCGCGCTCTCGCAAACTCGCCAGAATTTGCTAAGTTGAGAAAGGTATGGTTTTCGCTTGTCGCCAACCTGAAACCGAGAAACGTGAATTTTCTCGAAATCTTCCGGAAATGCACCAATGAGCGTCCGCCTTTGACGAGGTTTTCTTATGAGAAGCTCCATCGCGATGCGACCTTCACACCAGCCCTAGGTACCCTTCCATACTACATAACAGCGGCGCCCGCCATCCCAGCTCCCGTCCTGGCACGTGTCTCGACGTTGAGGGCGTTTGGATGGAATCCTTTGCACGGCTGGATGATCAACGTCCGCAGATTTCCTCTACGGAGTACAAGCTGAGGAAAAAGGTTGATTCGTTAGTTATTTGAAATACGCCGACAGGGTTTGCGCTCGGGAATCTTGGCTACGTGGTTTGAAAACGCAGCAGAAACCGCCTCTATCCATTGAAGGAGACGGCCCGTGTGTCTCTATGTCCGAGGACAATGCCACCGAATATGTATCCTTGGGCCATCATGCCGTGTTCCCTAGGAAGATACCCTAGAGCGGTGTCCCTTCTGCGGACTTATGTACGGAGTACTCTCGACCCTTGCGGCATTGCTCCCTGCTGGCGAAGCACAGCGCCACTTCACAACCTCCCTCCAACTGGAATACAAGGTGCACGTTGGGCCTCAACCATGTCATGCCACGGCACTCTATGTACGGAGTAGACTCTACAGAATAACTATGTCTCGCTGCTGAACAGGAACGGGAGATCACTCCACTTTCATATTATCTGAACCTTTCGGAGAAGATGTTGGTTCTGGTTGGGGCCGAGGCGTCGCGCTGTAAATCTCAGCTAGATTGTATCGTTTCAACTTTTCGTAATCTCCCCCGACAACACTCATGCCGCATATATTCTGGCGCCATGGTCAACAAGCCTGGTCAGCTGAGAATGGCCGGGCGCCTTCCGCTCCCCGGAGGTTGCATACCTGAATAATATCTACCAAGATCAACGCATCATAATTTTTTAAGTCAACTGCATGGCCTTGGCCGACGGCACGGGCAACAAGCCGAATCACGGTGTCTCTCGGCCATTCATGGTTATTGCGCACGGTTGGCCGGATTGCATACTAGATCCAGAATCTTCAGACACAGGCCCAAGCGGGTGGACGCTTTATATTGGGGGTCATGGAGGGGGCGCTACCTTCTTCGGGGAGCTGTCTGAGTGAAAATGTGGCTCCAATACCTCGCGTGCGAGCTCCTCAATACCGCCACCAAGAATTTTTTGAGTGGCTGTGATTGGCGTAAGTCGTTTGACATATCTGCTTCGCTTCTTTTCCGGGTGCGCATGGGCGTCCATGCATATTCGATGGACAAGCTCCACAGGGTCTATAGATTTATCCACCTTGATGAACAGCACTACTCGGATATGTCAGATAAGTGTACGCAAATGTGCACCACAGCAGCGAGTCTAGGCGTGGAGAAGCAGAATGGATCAGCACGCACAGCACGGGACGTCCAGTTTCACAGCCTGAAAAGGTGCACGCGACTTCTTTGGCTTCATGCATTCGACTTCCTTCTTAATCTGTGCTTCGATATCATCTGCATCTCCTCGAGTCGGGGAATCTTGCTCTTCCGACTCGTTTTGAGAAGGATCTGGTATTTCCTGCACTGTATTTTTAGGCGCATTATTATGGGATTTGTATGGACCTAACGTACCTGAGACAGTAAATCCAATATCTCAGCGGTACATTTGCCTTCTCTACCCCTATCGCAAGTCACAAATATCCCGGAGTCACCGCTCTCAAGCGTCGGCTTTGCACTTGATTTTGAGCCAGTTGTCCGCCACAGCTTCTTGCGCTACAGATATCTTAGAAATAAGTCTGTCTAGATCCATGAAAGACAACACAGAGTACCCTGTCGGCTTTCTAAAAAAGGATAATCTCAGCCATTATGGATTATAACTTACCTTTTGCTTTCTATCTGAATGCTCATGTGTTCTGCCCGTCGCCGCTCGCTTCTTGCCTGTCTCATCACCCATGGCTCTGGCCGGGTCAAAGGTCTCAGCCCTCAGTTGTGTATACTGAACTTATCAATTATCATCGACAGTCGTATGATTCCTTATCTGCAAAGTCTCAATTATTCATTCCACCTCACCTACGCGCTAATTTAATATTTGTGCTTTTGGCTTTGCCTGCTGGAGCTTCAGAAATTCTGCCATCCAATCATACGAGCAGGAGCATGGACGCTAACCCTGTTTGACGTAAGCAGCCATTCTCGAACTTCGCCGACGCTGGGCTTGACATCATCCATGCGATTGTGCCAGGTTTCGAGAGAGACATCGCCGCTGACAGAAAGCCTGGACAATGTACAGCAGAATGCCAGCCTGGAGGTACCGGCGTGGGGGGGGCTACTTTATCAACTACAGCATGTGCCAGCAACGGTGTGCAGCTTCAATCGATCCGCGATTCTTCGAGCATTGAACAAGAAGTCCTATCGAGTAGCTCATCATGACCGACCTTGCTACCAAAGAGCTCAAAAATCCCGTTGATGTTGCCGAGTATCTATTTACAAGGCTTCATCAGCTTGGAATCCGGTCAATTCATGGTGTCCCAGGTGAAACGCTCGTGCTCAATTGAACTCTTGGATCAAATTCTAATGATATCTAGGCGACTATAACCTTGTGGCTTTGGATTACATTCCAAAATGCGGTCTCCGTTGGGTAGGAAACTGCAATGAATTGAATGCCGGTATGATATTAGCCTGCCATACCTCATGCTAAGCCTAGCTGATCCGCATGGATGAAGGCTACGCTGCCGACGGATACGCCCGTATCAACGGAATCTCAGCGCTGATGACAACGTTCGGAGTCGGAGAGCTCTCGGCCCTTAATGCTGTTGCTGGTGCCTTCTCCGAATTTGTCCCAATTGTCCACATCATCGGCCAGCCCAGCACGATTTCCCAAAAGGACGGCATGCTTCTTCACCATACTCTGGGAAATGGGGATTATAATGCTTTTGCCAACATGAGTGCAAACATTTCATGTGCGGTAGCAAAACTAAATGATCCCCACCAGGCAGCCACCTACATTGACAGCGCATTGCGCGAATGCTGGATTCGCAGCCGCCCTGTTTACATTGCTCTGCCAACGGATCTTGTTCAGAAGAAGGTGGATGGAGAACGCCTAAAAACTCCAATTGATTTAAGCCCACCAGCAAACGAAGAAGAAAAGGAAGAATATGTGGTAGATGTGGTTCTAAAGTACCTTCATGCTGCAAAGAACCCAGTAATTCTTGTGGATGCATGTGCCATTCGTCATCGTGTCCTAGATGAGGTCCATGATTTCGTCAAGAAATCCGGACTGCCTACATTTGTTGCACCAATGGGGAAGGGTGCTGTTGACGAAACTCTTCCCAATTACGGTGGCGTGTACGCCGGCGATGGATCCAACGCAGGTGTCAAGGACCGGGTCGAATCTTCGGATTTGATTCTTAGTATTGGCGCTATCAAATCCGATTTTAACACGACCGGGTTCACATATCGCATTGGACGTATGAACACGATTGACTTCCACAGTAATTATGTCGCCGTGCGTTATTCGGAGTATCCGGGAGTAGGAATGAAGGGCGTCCTTCGCAAGGTGGTGCAACGTATGGGCAAAGTGAACGTTGCTCCTGGCCCCAAAGTCATAAACGAACCTCATGAAGACCCCAGCGCGTCGAACCCTGCCATTACCCATGAGTGGTTCTGGCCAATAGTCGGGAAATGGCTGCAGGAGAACGACATCGTCATTACCGAAACTGGCACCGCCAATTTCGGTATCTGGGAGACCAGGTTCCCGAAGGGTGTTACTGCCGTAAGCCAGGTCCTCTGGGGCAGTATCGGATATTCACTTGGTGCTTGCCAGGGTGCTGCCCTTGCAACACAGGAAGGTCTAAAGCGGCGCACCATCCTATTTATCGGTGATGGAAGCTTTCAAATGACTGGTCAGGAATTGAGCACCATGATCAGGAGAAAGCTAACACCTATAATGTAAGCCCATCAAAACCGATTCCTGTGGGAAAGTCTAACCTCTGGATAGATTTGTGATATGCAATGAAGGTTATACGATTGAACGATATATCCACGGTTGGGAAAGTTCATACAACGATATCCAAGAGTGGAAGTTCAAGGACTTAGTGCCCGCCTTTGGAGCTAAACCCGAGAATTACAGGACATACCAGATTCGAACGAAGCAAGAAGTGCTCGACCTATTCGCGAACAAAGAGTTCGCTGCCGCTGAAGTGTTGCAGGTATATTTCCGGCCCAACGATGTTAAGATTTCGAGCATGTTGATCCTGACTATAATCTAGCTTGTTGAATTGTATATGCCCCTAGAGGATGCACCTGCTGCATTGAGGCTGACGGCAGAGGCGTCTGCGAGGAGGAACGCAGAGTAAAAAGAGCAGTTTTTTTTACAAATTTCGGCGTCGAGACGAATATTGTCAACGGTAAAATCTCCTAATTGTTCTTTAGGCACAAGGAAATTGCAGTCCGTCGATGGACGTGCCTGATACATAGCTGAAACAAGTACCGTACATCGAAGTTGAGGCATAGTTCCTAACAAGCGGAACACCTTTCTCTCTCTACTCCTTGCTTTCTTAGTCGATCAAGTAACTTATGCATCGTGTAATATAACCCAGGCATTGGACTTGAAAGAACAGAGGAAGCCAGCTCGCCGAAGTGAAGATTTGGCATCCACATGCAGACTAGCGTGCAGTAGTATAATTCTCAAGCGAACATAGAGTCGTCGAAGCATTTGCAGTCTGATCTTGATGTCCGCTTTGCAGGCAAGGGCCACGAGGGATGGGCTGGAGGGGCCCGCCGGAGATTGACGGGATCCGGAGTAAGTGATGTTCCGTAATCACTCCACAGCTGTGGCGCTGAAGGATTGCGTGCTGCACGTGAGATCGCGCTAAGCCAAAAGCGGAAGGTCAAGAGGCGGGATGATCGGCGGGCCAATCAGCGTCCCGAGGAGCTTTCCGGCGGGATCTGCATACCTATCACGTGACAAGCTCTCTGGGCGTCTGGGTGATCCTGCGCTGGCATTGGCCGTTAGCTCAAGCGCACCGAGGACCGGAGGAGGCTGGACGCTGCGACATGCCATAACTTTGCACAAGAAGACCGGATCACCGAGTCACTCACTTCAACTTCGGGGAAGAGACTGCCAGCCTAGCACCAGAGACACACAGGCTGAGAGAGGTGTTGGCAACCGAGCTCGGAAGAAGTTGCGTACGGGGTAACCTGCCTACTCCCCGGTGCTCCGCGGTGTGGCTGTCCCACCACTTGGCTGGGACCATCAGAACAACACTCTTGGTTCGAATTAATTGTTTCGATAGAGTAGCTTGATCGGATTGCCGCTAACCTCTCCTTTATCACAGAGCCTGCCCAGTAGATTCACCTGAATCTATTTGCCCTACCCTGAAACCCGGAACAGGACGTCTCCCAACCTGCTGGAATCGAACCACCAGGGGAATCACTCAGCTCCCTTCCCCCCAGTATGTGAATACCGCTTCATTACCTTCTTTCCTGGCCGAGAAACTGTGCGAAACTGTATGCGGTCTCAGCACAGTGACATTCGTTAAAATCATTTTGGGACACCGACCACGTCGAGAGCCGAAGAGCAATATGCTTCTAGCTACTTAATATTGAGACCTTGGACTTTAGCTTCACAATGAATTGACCAGAGAAGACTTGAAATATTCAATGGTATCTGGCTTATTCTTTGAATCGATTATCAGGTTGCCAACCACGCTTGTCTGTGTGCTCAGGCCTTGAATGTTTCAGCCTCCAATGCAATCATCTGGAAACCACCACAGTAGGGAAGAACCGGCAGGATAAGCAATCATGGATGGCCAACGGCAACAACCATATGTCCCGGGCCCACCACCGCAAACAATTCAACAGACAGCATCCCAAGGCCATGTGATGCAGCTACCACCACCTCCTCCGCAACCCCCTCCACCACGAGTTACTCATGCAGCATCTCATGGTGGTCTGCCTCCGCCGCCACCGGTGCCTCCTCGTGTATCAGGCTATGGAAACCAGCCTGGGTGGCAACAGGCATGGTCGAGGCAGCAGGGCATGGGACAAAGCTTCTATCTACCGCCGCCTCCCTCCATGCTCTCTTCCAATCAAGTTTACAACCAACCCTTGGCTTACAATCCTCATCAGCCTCCAAACTCTGGTTCTCTTTCTATCCAACCACCTCCCACTAATGATCAGCCTCTTACGTCCGCAACGTACATCCCCGGCGGGAGTTCGTTTGGTCCTGGAGTTGGCATACCGCCGCTTGACTCTTACGATAACTTCTCTCGTGCAGACAGGGCTGGGTATCCACCAGACTCGGACACTATGCGATATATCCCGCAATCATACGCCGATCAAATGAATCGTTCTCACCAAGTCCCGTCTTCATTCCGGGAACAGTCCGATTCGGGTAATCCCCTAGCATTAAATCAGAATGTTCATGGCCAATCATCGCTTCAGCATTCTCAGGGACCAACCCGTGAGAACTCTAGCCGCCACGCCACCAGTGCCATATCCTCTGGTTTATCAATCCATGAAGCCGATGAGAGATGGCCTCTGGACCGCGTGCTGCAGTGGCTTGTCCATAATGGATTCTCCACTGAATGGCAAGAAACTTTTAAATCACTAGATTTAAAGGGAGCGGATTTTATTGACCTGGGCTGCGGAGGAGCAAACGGCATGGGGAACCTTGGCAAAATGCACCAAGACATCTATCCCCAGCTCGCCAAAGAATGCGTTAAGAGCGGAACTGGGTGGGACCAAAGTCGCGAGCGCGAAGAGGGAGTTCGGATGCGAAAACTTATTCGAGGTATCAACTCTGAAAATGCTCCGTCTGCGCGATTCTACGAAAATCTACATCCCAGCGCGTCTACGGATGGGGGTGTGGAAACTTCTCCTCATTTGAGAGCAGATTCTTTTCCCTTCGACCCTTCTTCTACTGAATCTGGCTATCAAGAGCCAAGTTCCAGATCCGAATTATCTCGGAACATTCTAGTCAACGCCTTTGGGGAATGGAGACGACATAGTCCCTCTGCATCTAGTGACCACGGGGCAGGACTTCGTGCATCCAGCAATTCCCGTGCAGGAAGCCCAGCGACCCAATTCGCGTCCATGGCAACAGCAGAACCCGCATTTTTAACTGGGGAATTTGGCCATGCTAAACGAAATAGCTCAGATTCTATTATAAGCCGCGGTTTGCGTCAAGCCCAAGGATCTTCAAATCCAGATCATTCAACGAAACAGACGGAACTGTCTACTAAGGACCACAAAGGGTTTTTAAATGCCATCCGAAAGAAAATTGGTCCCTCCCATCCTTCAGAAGAGCCGCATCATGACGCTTCTATCAGCCCGGTTCGAAATAACCAATCATTCCCCTACTCCGGGAAGCCAAGCCTAAACGCCAGCGAAACTTCTTTGGTAATGGGTATGTCATTACCGTCTTCCGAATCTCATGCACGAAAGGCCATTTCGAACCTTCCTCCGAAGAAGTTCATCTTTGTAACTCTTGACGGCTGGAACTACCGCTTGGTAGATGTTACTGACGTTGATGCTGCGGACCTGCTCCGAGCCCGCCTGTGCAATGGAGTCGGAATCAAGGATCCTTCTAGCGCTTTGATATATGTGACAGAACCTGGACAAGTTGATCATGAGGAGCCACTGAGCGATACCATGCTAGTCGTCAATCGCCGTTCCAGATCAGACGCCCAAGGAAGTTTAAAGCTTTATATACAAAGCATGACACCGTCGGCTTTTAACGTTTCTCAATATGCTGGCCTCGGACTGTCCTTTTCGGACAGAGTTGCCAATGGGGCTAAACCACAGAGAAATATCCTTGAAGACGACACACGTAATAGGACTAACCAACCTAGTCATACTCGTCGAGTATCGCCTTCCTTAGCGCACCGCTCATCTATGCAAAACCTACCATCTTATTCCCCATTCCCTGAAGATGACAGGTTGGGTGAGAATCTCTCCGAGGACAAAGAACGAAACGCCGCGATCCTGGCAGCGCACGAAGAGCATCGTCGGATAACTGAACAAAAACAGCAAGCCTTCCTCCAGTCCAGGCGGGAACAGCTTCAGAAGAAACAGGCATCAACGGTCACTACATACGGAATAAAGCGGGGAGGATTTATTGATTTCGATTTACCGCGGACTTCGCCGTACGAAGATAAACGGACTGACGACCTGGTTCCACGGAGAGAGCCACCAACAGCGCCATCGGCATCTAGCACCCTGACAAAGGTCAACTCTTTGAACAAAAAGCCTGGGGAAAAGGCCACAGATAACACTTGTCATCAGAGACGGTCTTCGAAGGATTTCTTGTCCGATAACCGGCAAAGGTCGTCTAGCTTTAGCCCGAAAAATGCCTCTCCTAGCATGGGCATCGCTGCTGCCATTGCCAACATGGGAAAGATCTCTGGCTCGATTGCCAAACCCCTGGCATCTTCGACATCCTTTGGCCATTCGCCTCGCACTCCGTCTGGATCAGAGTTCGGGAGGTTTTCGACGGAATCTGTGGATGCTGGCAGTGCCAGTCCCCATTGCGGTAGCTCATCTTCACCAAGACCATCAGCCTTTGCCCGTTCAGTTAGTGCAAATAGTGAAATTATAGCAAGAAAATCAACTCCCACCCAGGCCGAGTCCACACCTCCTGACAAGTCCGTTCATTCATTTTCTGCAAGCCCAAGCAGAGCGTCAGCAATACCGCCATCAAGACTGTCACACGGCCCAGACTTCGATTTCCAAGAAACTGAAGTATCTTTCGTTAAATCACCTCAGCCCGCGCCTCAAGATTCGGACGAGGATTCTGACGAAGGCCTCTTCGCCATTCCTCTTGCAAACGGCAAGAATAAACCTCAAGTAAACAAGAAACCGCCTGCGACTAGAAGCCGATTAGCAAAACCGGCCTTGACTGTGAATACAAATTCCAGGGCGGCGAAAGGCCTCTCTGTGACCTTCGAGTCCCCTGGTCCGTGCGATTCATTCACACCACTCACCGATCACAGTGACTCGCGAAGCGGACATTATTCAGGGGATCCCGATACTGATGACCTTTCTCCCGAAGATTCAAGGAGCGCTCGCCGCCGATCATTTGTAAGGGATGACGTCTGGGCAAGTCGTCCTCCAGTCGAAGGAATGATAGAACATCTCGATGATTTCTTCCCGAATATCGACTTAGATGAGCCTTATCTGGAAGCTATGCCTCTCACTCCTCCAATATCGCCAACTGCAACTTCAAGTCACCCAGACACAGAACCAGAGCAATCTTTTACCCTCCGAGACCGTGTAGGTCAAGGTGGTCCCCCTACGACATCCATTCCACGGAATGCCTCCGACACATTAGGGTCAGATGAGTCAACTCTAAAAGGAAAAGCAGCCCCGAAAACCGTCGCACACCGGAATGTCGGCCGCTCTACTGGCTTGAGCCGCATGAAGTCAATCCGTGAGGTCGCAAAGGGAGCTCATCAGATCCGCCGAAATCAAAGCATTGCTGCATCCAAAAATGCACAATCCGGTATGCTACGGCGTAAGAGCACCAAGATGTTTGGGGCGAGAATCATGCAGATCAGTCCTAAACCAGGCAGTCGATTGAGTGACCTGGATCCTCTACCACAACACCCAGTTCCCCAGGAAAAACTGCCGCAGAGGCAAGCAACCTTTAGAATTATTAGAGGTCAGCTCATTGGCAAAGGTACATACGGTAGAGTATATCTCGGCATGAATGCAGAGACCGGTGAGATCTTGGCGGTGAAACAAGTGGAAGTGAACCAGAAAGCAGCCGGGTACGATAAAGACCGTATTAAAGAAATGGTCCAGGCTATGGACCATGAAATCGACACGATGCAGCATTTGGAACACCCGAATATTGTACAATATCTCGGTTGCCATCGAAGCGAATTGTCCATGTCCATTTACCTCGAATATATACCTGGTGGCTCTATCGGAAGTTGTCTTCGGAAACACGGCAAGTTTGAGGAAAGTGTGGTTCAATCACTTACTATCCAGACGTTGCGTGGTCTGGCCTACTTGCATGACAAGGGCATTCTCCATCGAGATCTCAAGGCCGACAATATCCTCCTTGACCTCGACGGAACCTGCAAGATATCGGATTTTGGTATCTCCAAGAAAAGCGACAATATCTACGGAAATGACGTGACCAACTCAATGCAAGGCTCCGTATTTTGGATGGCACCAGAGGTAGTCCAGTCCCAAGGCCAAGGATATAGTGCCAAAGTCGATATTTGGTCTCTTGGGTGTGTGGTTTTGGAAATGTTCGCTGGTCGACGTCCATGGAGCAAAGAAGAGGCTATTGGGGCAATCTTCAAACTTGGAAGCTTGAACCAAGCGCCGCCTATCCCTGAAGATGTGTCGATGAACATCTGTCCAGCAGCTATAGCTTTTATGTACGACTGCTTCACGATGTGAGTTCGTCTGTTTCGCCTGGCTTTCTCGGGCGTTTCACTAACCGTTTCACAGTAATACATTTGACCGTCCCACCGCTGAAACCCTCCTCTCCCAACATCCCTTCTGTATACCCGATCCAAACTTTAACTTCTTGGATACAGAACTCCATGCGAAGATTGGACACTTGTAGATACAGCACTATGCACAACCCCGGGTCCATCTATTGCCTGGATACTGGGCCTACCCATAGAGTAGCTCTAAACCCGGAATTCTGCCTGCAGCCCGCCCTTTCCGTCTTTACTTCTCTTTTGTTCTTATTTCTTATTTTTTTTTCCCCTCTTTAATTACTTACGATACGTCTATGGTTACCTGTCTGCGAATTTCCGGACCAAGCGATAATATTTTTGTTTTCTTATTTTTGATTCCTCCTCTGATCTGTTACCTGCGTTTTTTCTACGTTCTCGGCCTTTTCAAAATTTCTTGAGCATAATTCTTTGGCTACTTCAAATAGATATGTTGACAGAAGAACATACCGGTGAGATCGCTGGCATTATCCTCCAACATGTCGATTAACTATCTGTGGCCATTAACGACCTTAGTGCTAGGCAATGAATAAAAAAAGTACCCATGTTGTCAACTCTGAATACTATATAAAACCTAACACGGGAAACGTGCACAGCCGCAACGCGCCGTAGAGAACTTATTACCTACACACTCCCTGCGCTGCGAGCATCGTCGGAGTCTTCTACATCCTCTTCCGAACCCCTCAGGCCTGATATCCCCACGCAGAAGACGCCTTCACTCCATTCAGTAAAGGTCTCGACATCCCACACCTCATCCGCTCGTCCTTTCCCAGTGGCTTTTCTCGCCATTCGATCACTGCTCGTCTCAGCAGAAGTGTACGCCTCAAAGAAATCCTCATACAGCTGAATAACGCTATCCCGCACCGCAGCTACCAGAGTCTCCCTGGTTCTAGTATCGTCAATATAACTGCTCAGTACCTTTCTTAGCTTAGGAACTTCCTTCTGAACAGCCTGACACGTCTTCTCAATCGCGCCACGAGCCTGTGAGGCAGAAGTCTCGTTAGATGGTAGCGGAGTGGTCATCTTCGCCGAAAAGGAGTTCGTGAAGTCGCTGATTACAGTTCGAAGTCTGCCGTCTAACTCAGCTTTCGCGTCGAGCATATTCTCGACGACTCGTGGGAGAAGTCCATCGCCAAGCAACCGGACGAGATTCCGTGGGTTGAATAGACCGCCGCGTTCGCGAAGTTCCCAGAATGTATTTGTCACCCCAGAGAAATCAAAGGATACTTCTGGAGACACGAATTCAATGTCGAAAGCTACGATTTGCTGTTTCAAGATGAGGAGGTGTTTGATTAAAAAGAGCTGGGCGTCGGCTGGGGAGGACTTGGCGGCGATTTGAGTACTGGCTTGATGGAGAGAGATGGTGGTTTGGTGGACTATTTGATGAGCTAGATCGTCAAAGACGGTAGACTAGGTCCACCAATTAGCACTGCTGAGACGATATAGTGGAAGAGATGGCCATCACATACATTGACAAGCCGGTATATGCGACTTAATAACCAGACAGCTTTCCTCAGGGTAGGATACCAGCCTTCAAATACTGATCTAGAGTCAAAGTCCCATCTTGGGCCCTTCTCCCCTGGAGAATCAAGTTCCTCGTCAACGATCATCGGCAGGTTTGGCAAGGGAGACGTGGGGTCAATATGGGATTGTTTTCTCCCAGAAGTAGCCGGTCCCTTAGTATCTGCTGCGGGGAGAGAAACTCTTCTATTTCGAGCGGGATAGTCAAGGTCTTCAGGTTTAGGTTTAAACTTCTCAATATCGTCTCTTAGAATTGCTTGTGCCCTAAAGACCAAACGTGTCTGTGCATCTTCAAGGGCAGGTTGGATTAAAGTAGAGAAATCCAACTGGTTTGGGTTAGGATATTCGCCTTCTTCTTCTGGATCCATGAGGTATCGAGTCTGGAGGAGTGTGCATAGCTGGCATAATTTGACCAGTTGGGTTTCATGGATGATTCTAGGCCTTAGGTGATCATATAATGGCTCGCAAACAGACTCTAGAAAATCGTAGAGACCCTGTTGTCCGTGAAACCATTGACCCCACAAGTCGAACTCATCCAAGCAAATTCCTCGAATATAGCTGATACTCGTCCGCGCAAAGGCAACAAGGTCCTTCGAGGTGCTAGGTGCATTCGCGATATCATTCAATCTCTTCCGGACAAGCGGTATAATCAACTTTCCTCGTGTCGCGGAGAAATTCGAATGAAGCTCGTTAAGTAAGCTCTGATACTCCGCTTCAGCGCCCTGTTCGGGATCCAATGGCGGCACGGCTCTCTTTTGAATCTCTAATCCGATGTCTTTCATCTCGGCTGCTCCTACACGGAATTTTGCGTAGAGCAACGCAGACATCGTAGTGTCATTTAGCTGCCGATCGGCGATGCGCTTTGATACCCCTGAGGATATTTCTCGCAGCGTGGAGACAAAATGCCCTCTGATTAGGGTCAAAGCACGGGTTAGTAGGAGGCGGTAACGTGCCCTGTATGTCTCTGCTTCCTTTTGTTCGGGCTTGAAATCCACAGTAAGTATCGATATAGCAAGTACAAGTGGTGTCTCAGCGCAGGGGACCGCCTTACATGTGCTTGCATATAGTCCAGACATTCATCCAACCGCCGCAGCATATCAGAGAAGTCCTTTCTACGAACCGAGTTACCAGCTCCTGGTGCATTGAGCTTTCTTGATGCAGGATCCAGATAGTCATAATATTGCAAGTTCTCCTGGATATCATCCGCGAGTTTAGCGCTCCGCTGCTCAGCGGCCAGCAACCCTTCGCACTGTTGCTGGAAGGCGGTCGTCTGTGCTTCAACGGACTTGAAAGACCGGGATAAGCTGGATAGAAGATCAAGAGTCGAGGAGCTATCACGGAGAAGGGAGTCGAGGTGGGCAGTGGTCATCTCCAGCTCGTCAAGGCATGATCTAATGGAAAATTGAAGACACGTCAGCAAAGTGTGCTGCAGAGGGTAAAGTCAAAGGGGAGCAGCATACTGGTATTTCTCGTATGTGAATTCCAGCAATTCCGCTCCGGCGGTGTCGTACCACTGCGCAAATTCCAATTCATTTTTAATCTCCTTCGGTTCGCCATTCTCGACTACGCCTTTCTCAGAGCTGGGGAGCGAGGTGGGAGGGTCGCTCGGTGGAAGTTGGACACCCGCCGAGGACGACATTTGAGAGCCAATTAATCGATAATTAACTCTTTTTTTTTTTTTGTTTTCCTCCAGCCGTTCAGTATGCCAGAACGCGCAGAAAAGAAAGGAAAAAAAAAAGAAAAAAGAAAAAGAAAAAGAAAAAGAAAAAGAAAATACAGAGCAGCCCGGGCAGGCGAAGAAAACGTAGGTCGAATGTTGAACTCCCGATGTTGGTAAATTCCGCAGCTACAGCTCAATCAGCTTGTTAGTCACTCCATTCGTTGATATGTACGGAGGAGCTAGACCCAAAAACTCAAACTAAGCTTCTAGCATTCATCACCACCCCGGGTCAGGTATTCGCAAGATCCAGAACGATGAAGCCCATCGCGAGCTCTCTGTACTGCAGCCCTCGCCATTGCTGCTGCTGCTGCTGCTGCTGCTGTTGTTGTTGTTGTTGCTGAGAGGACTTTAAAAGCGGCGACGGGAGAGTGTGTCAGCAGGCCTTAGGGCGACGCCGGCGCTTGACGGATTAGGCATAGCACATGGCGCGTCACGTTTCGCAAGTAATCCGGGAGATCCACATGCACAACATTTTCCTGTAATACGGCGTACCGAACCCGTTATCGCTCATTAAATAAGGTTGAAAGTTGGATTTCGGTTGGTGGAACAGGTACAGAAGCCAATAAATCAGCCAATGGTCAGGTCTGGATGCCCTGGTGATCGCGTCTCAGGACACACACTCCATATTTTCAATTTACGCCCCCGTACGGAGCACACTCCATCCCCCGGTATGCAAGTATGGTATTGTTTTCGCTGCGCATTGGGCCGTCTAACCCGAATTGTGCACGCGGCTGACGGCTGGCGGCCGCCCAGGCAAGCCCGCCTGACGCTGCCAGAAAGCCACTCTTTTTTTTCTTTAAGCCAGGCAGTCCCTCCCGCCGGCCCCCTTGCTTCACCGTCCCAGGTTCATTCGCTCTCGCTCCCGCCGGACTTCATCCTGCGACACTCGTTTGATATCACTCTCTCAAATTTTTCACTTTAGCCTCTCTGTTCACTCCACATCACCTGCTCTTTCTTCTAGCCATTCTCTCACTTGACTTCCTTATCCTGAGGTGCCGGCATCCTCTTTCTCTCTCCTCGGCAACAGCGCCAGACCTCCACCGATCTCCCCCATATCGATTCTCGAAATCCACCCAAAATGAGGTGGCCGTCGACACTTTCCATCTTGCTGCTTTCGCTCATCGTCCTTGCTGTCGCTGTATCCGGCGCCGGTGTTGACAGACGGCAGCTGAGCCTCGGTGACGCCGTCCAGAGTCCGCAATCATCGGCCACTGGAGACGATCTCGACGACGACACTCCCACATCATCCGCGCGATCGACCTCTTCACCAACCTCAGAGCCGGATCCAGAGACTTCCACTTCTGAGTCGACTTCTGAACGTTCAACTTCATCGAGTCCCACAGCGCAGCCAACTCCTACGCCCCCATCCTCCACTCCAGAGTCGACTCCGCCGTCAACACCGCCCATCACTCCAAGGCCAACTCCGACAAGGGACACGCCACCTCCGCCTTCGAAATCAGTGGTCATCGTCACTTACACGGTCACCAGCGACGACCAAACTATCATCCAAACCAGCCAGTCAACTGCTCCCCAGCCAACCAACGCGCCTGGAATTGGCGATGATCCATCGGGTTCCGATAGCTCTGGGCTAAGCGACAGCAGTAGAAACATCATCATTGGTGTAGTCGTCGGTGTGGGAGGTGCCGTCTTACTCTCAGGCCTTGCCCTCGTGGTTTACAGACTACGTCGAAAGAGAAACGCGCGAACCGAACCTGATGAAGATGACCTCACCGGTACAGCTCTCGGCTCGCACAGCCATGCTGCCTCGATGTCCAGCAGCCCCTTCAAGACCACTCTAGATCAATACCACAACCCCGGACCCGTCAACCCTGCCTCGAATTTCTAAGGTCTATATCCCATCTCCCGCAAAAATACGAGTCTGTGTTTTGCTAGGGCGGCTTGTCTGGTTGATCTGCTCGCGTGTCGGTTCTTTTTTGAACGAAAGGACGAGTGCCTACACCTTTCTCACGGTGCTCTCCTCCCCCTCCACAACAAAGACACGCGAAAGACATAACCATTCGACTGTAATGTTTTGCCACAGCAGCTCGACTTAAGGTATCTGGTTTCTCCACGAGTTTATTTTCCGACATATGGGCATCGACAAACGGCGGCACGGAGTTTGGGATTTTCCATTTTTATGATTTGATCTTTGCTGAGTTTCTGCTTTTGACCTTTTTTTCTTTTTACCACAACAAGCCTTTCCGAATACTGTGTACACGGTACGCATTGACAACACCCAATTATACACCAGCTTATTTGTAATGTTCTCAAAAATGATTCTCTCCTTGATTACCCCCTTTTTATTTTATTTTATTTTTTTTTTGTTTGATGAGGGTGATGTCCCTGTCCTTCCTTGATAGAGATTCGTCCTTTCTCATCCATTCCTTGTCCATTCTTGTCTTCATGTCTGTTATGATGCCGGAAGGGGGACGGGGGTTGTTTCTTCCTGTATCATACTCGAAGGTGGAAAAAGAAAATATTGATATCCAAAGCTCTGCTATACTACATACCATGACACCCTTCGCGGGCTGACTCTCTCTCTCTCTCTCTCCTGTACACCTCTGGTGTTTTTTGTTGCATTGCTCGCTACCCATATGCGTCATTGACATCTAGCCTGAAACGCTTCTTGCTTGATAGCTTTGCCGAGATACTCCCTTTTGATAATTTATTGACTGGTTCCATGGCAACTTAATGAATGCCACCTATAGCATAGCTTTTTTTCTCCCATGCTGATCTTCGATCGATTCATCTATCCGAAGTGTCTACGAAGTACCTTCTCGCTGTACATACGCGTGAAATGTACACACCAAGAACAGCACAAACGACTCCTTGGCTTGATATAGGTGTCTCGATGCAAGGGTTACATCCCCAGGCCAACTTTACCATTAAAAGGAAACCTTCGTCTAACAAGTGGCAAAAAAAAAGAAAGAATTACCTTGTCAACAGCAAGCGAGCAAGCTGCTCTCATTTTTCTTCATACCTTTTTTCTTTTCTTTTTTTTTAAATCCCCCGGTCAAGACCCGCTCTTACACCGGCTACGTCGGGACACTGGAATATGGTAAAACTCAACTGAAAAATATCCGGTAAATAATCCAATAATCCCTATTAACCATCTGGAAATTTTTCTGCGGAAAAATAGCGTGTGGTGCTGAATAGCCAACCGGCATCGGCTCTGTCAAGGTAGTTCGCCGTTGTAACTGTATGAAGATCATCCCATCCAACCCTTGCAAACACCCCTAGCGAGCTGCAATCCTTCAGACCTGAACGACGAGTTAGAGCAGAACGGTGGCAAAGGGGCACTATTTTTAGCCCCTATAATTCCCAGTCATTATCCACAGACACTTCAAAAATATCCCCCCGCACCAAAAAAAAAAAAAAAAAAAAAAAAAAAAGGATGGTTTGGGGTAGCACTGAAAACCAATTCCCCAAGTTCGCAAGTACGTACGATTTCCTGGGTTGTGATCAAAAACCCTTCATGGGCTATCCATTCACTTTCTTTGGCCGCAGAGCCGGGTTATGGATGGTGGGGGAAAGAGAAACCCTGGACCAAGCATCACCATTCAAAATACTCAGATTCCGAGGGAAGCAGGACGATCAGACCACAGCTTGAAGTTTGGTTGATGGATCGTCATAAGCGCTAGATGATGCTTATTACCAGACCAGGAGTCCTCTCCAGATGAGTAAGCGGTAAAGTCGAGACGCCGCAAAATTTCCAGAAAGCAATATAATCCATGGATACAATGGAATATCTTGCCAAATAAACGCAGCGATCTCCAGGGGATGAACGTGACGGAACTAGACTTAAGAGTCTGGGTCCCTTAGGGGATCTTGAAACCCTTCCCAAAGGGTCGTTCCTAAGGGTGAGAATAGAATGCGCTGAACAATCAGGTTGATTGTCCAGAGGAACCCAGTAACTCAAGGGCACAAAAGGTCGAAGAAAGGTCGGATCAAGCGCGCCTGATATCAATGGGTTGAGTTTGAACCACACAAGGGGGCATATGGTTCCTTCGCTGGTCGTCCAGGTAGTCCTCACAGAATCTTCTTAGGGGGCCTAATTTTCCAGAAGTAGTCCTCGACTTCTTGAAACCAATTGAGCGCGAGTAAAGGAACTTAAGCAGGACACGGACATAGCCCGCTTTAGCCACGGTCCAGAGCGCAGATAAAGCGAGTTTTCGAATGGAATGAAACCGTCCATCCCAGCACTTTATGATAAGGGACCCGAAGCCGGTTGAAGAAATGTCTGGAAAAGCAAGCTGACCATCGATGATATCGACCTCAGGTTCCGCTTCGTAAAAGATGAAATACAAACATGACCCAAGAGCAAATTGCTCGCTCTTAGGCCCTGCTTTTCCTAGACTACCATCGGACTTATCCTGCCAGTATGGCTCAACGAAGCTGTGTAGTTCCTCTCCGCGTGCAACTGCACAGTCGAAATCAATGAGTTTTAGGTGAAGCTTTGCCGTCAGTAAGATGTTCTCAGGCCGTAGGTCCCCATGCACAAATCCAAGTTTCTCAATCCAAGCAGCAGCGCTAGTAAGCTCAAGCACCCAACGAGCTTTAAGAGGTTGTGGGACTATCTCCTGAGATTCGAGATAGGTATTCAATGGCGTGGCCAAGTGCTCAAGAAAGATTCCTTCTTCAGCAATAAAGGCACAGCGAACAACATTTGGATGAGGTGATTTCTCTAGGAGAGTGAATAGTGCCTTTTCATTTTCCAATGCTGTTGTGGAGGCCTCACTCTGGCGCCGTAAAAATGCAGTAAGCCGCTCGCCTCGTTGAGCCCTGGAGGTGTCAAACTGGATAGGGCACTTGAAAGCAACAATGTTGTTGACATTGTAAACAACTGAAGCAGAGCCAACTGCGATTTGGTTCTCAGCCGTCAGGCTGTTGAATGGAGCACTGATAACCATTTTAGCAGTCACTTGGCGAGTTAAATTTGATCATGGGAGAGAACGACGACTAAGCAAGTAGAGAGTAGTTAAAATGAAACAAATATAAAGACGCAGTGGGCTTGGAAATATATTACAAGCAAGCACAAAAAACACATGATGATAAATACTAACCATCGTAAAGCACATTGTATTGGAAGGTGAGCTCAATCAATTCGCTACATCTGCTCTGCAAAGTGAGGGAGCGTGAGCTCTCATACAAGCTCGCGTCTGCCGTGAAGTGTTCCTCGGCTTATTGTTGATCCACCAGCGATCGAAGTGATTCGCGTTTAAGCCAGAATCCCGCTCCTAACGCGCGTGATGAATTCACACTTCATTAACTGAGGGCAGCCACTTTACTTGAGAAAACAGTCACTGCACTCTCACCGATTATTACTGTTTAGAAGTTCTGGAAGTGAATGACCGAAGCAATGTTTGCCACTCTTCCTTCGCCCTCACCACCCCATATATTCAGCATAATAACCCCCCCATCGCACCGCCCCTACTCCTCCCAATGTGCTAACCCTCCTCGACCCTTCGCGTTTCCCATGCCCCAAGGAAATCCCAACCAAGAGAAAGAAACTACAAGACAACCTCCCTCCTCCACATCGCCTCACACCTCCTACGCGCAACGGTATGCCTCACAAATACGCAATCCCGCCGCCCGAGTTGCGGGACGGGCTTCCCACGATGTTCGGCGCAACGCGTTTTTAAATCGGATAAAACGGGGGCGTGAAAATTCAATGTTCAGTGCCAGAGAGGACAGTATACTGTGGATGGACTACGTCGCGCAAAAGCAGCGATTCGAGGAGGAGATGGCACGCTCGGCGCCGGTCCTTAGCAATGTAGAGGATGAAATGATGGATATCCACGAGGATGACCACGCAAGAGAGGATAGTGATACAAAACACAATGACCAAACACGGGATGGTAAGTTATTTGTACAATGAATTCCTTATTCTTGCCCTGACACTAGGCTGTGTGCTAACGGGTGTAGACGAGGCTGCCTTAGAAGAATATCTCGCGCAAGAGCGCGAGTATGAAGCGTTCCTGGAAGAAATGGAAAGCCGAATTGAAGCGAATCACACAGATAGTAACCAAGGCGAAGACGAGGATTATGACAGGATATTTGCTGAGATTGCTTCACATTATACAGCGGCCATTTCAGATCCGAATGAGCAAATGGACATGTCGCATGGATGAGTGAGAGTCGGATACACCCGTTTTGCCTTTTCGAACTTGAATTTTCTGGAGTTGGATGGACACGGTTTAAAGGTTTGGTGAACGGCGCTCCTGGCACTTGGATCACTCGCGGGTATCGCAACAATAGAGTAACTAATATGGGTATCGAATTTTCATATACAGTACAATAGACTGCAAATAGAGGCAATTTTCAAGCCCATGAAGAGGTATCTGCTTCATTGTTGCGGGCATTGTGGTCCACCAGCACCAAACAGTTCATCCGAGAAAGGGTCTGATACGAGCTCTTTCGGCGGAGTGCCAGTGCTTTGCATCTATCAACACATGTCAGCGCCAGTAATTCTATACTCGAAACTAGGGCGTAGGAACATCACCACGTACCTCCTGCATCTTTTCCCATATGTAGGCGCGATGCTCAGGTTTATCATCCGAGTACCCCGGCTCGTCGAATTTCTTCATGACGTCTGCCATGAGGCCCGCCTGCTTAACGTGTCTCTCAAAGTCCTCTTTGGATAACTTTTCCTTATTCTCCTCAAGCCAAGGTCCAAACTTTTCGTGGAGTTCCTTTACCGGCTCGTACAAAATCTCCTTGTTCGACAACTGCTCCATCACGCCCATAAGCATCTTCTCGAACCCCTCATCATCTTCTTGTCCATCACCGCCCATTCCTGCAGCCTCCATGGCCTTCAACATCTGAACAAGAACATCGTCATCTGCGCTATCGTTCACTGCGGCTGTAGCCTTATCGCCGGACTCCTGCATTCTCTCCATCGTTTTTCGAATGGTCTCTTGGAAAGTTTCCTCCGGTTTGCCTGACTGATCTTTACTTGATTCACCGCCACTGGCCGATAAATCTTCCCCGATCATCATCCTCATCAGATCTTCAGGCTTCATACCGCTCTTCGCTAACTCCTGCGCCAAAGCATTCCAGTCATCTTCACCATCTGCAGCGCCATCGCCACCTCCCTCTCCTCCGCCTCCACCTAATAATTCCGCCATACCAGCTTCTAGCTGCTTTAACAAAGCTTCTTCATCTGGCTCCGGCAACTGATCTAAATTCGGCTTTTCCTCTTGCTGCTGGGCCATAGCCGCTTGCTCCTGTTTTGGCCGGGCGGAAGCAGACCCTGGCTTAGCGGACGCGGAGAAATGATCAAGGACATCTGGGAATATTTAAAAAAAAAAAAAAAAATACATTAGCTCAAATTACCAATAAGCAGAATTCTCACATCAGATTTTCAGTACCGTCCAACTCTTCCCAATCAGACTCTTCATCATTGGGCTTTGTGACGGCGGGTTGTGTTGTCTTCGGCTGATCTGTCGACGGCGGGGTGGGGGGGTGCTGCGGCTCGGTTGACGTATTGTCGAGCTTCTGATCATCGGGGGATACGCTATTATTGTCTTCCATTCTGTAGAATTAAGCGAAGCAAATTTCTGGTTTATACCCTCTTCAAAAGATTTCGTGGAAGAAATAGCCCGGGGTACAGCTCGACGCTGCTATTTTCATGTGAGCGCCCGATAAGCTTTTTGGGGCAACCAACCCCTGGTTGCTTTTTGCTTCCTCGGCGCGCCGTCGCCGGGCAGTTCTCAGGCCGCGCCAGCAAAATTCTCCGTGCCCAACAACCGAGTCCATGTCTTTTATGGAGTCGTACATGACCACGCGGAAATATTATCATATTTATGGCAAAAATGTTGCCTTGCATCCTATGGAGCTAAACATGTATCTAATTCTGTCATGGAAACCATTCTACAGTCCCCTATCTAAGCTTGCTCAAAGCTCTGAGGGCTTTCCCTCGCAAGGATCAGTCTTTTCCACGGCCATCAACAAGGACACTGCGATTGCGGTCCTGAGTGCTGATCGCAACATCGAGCGCGGGACTTCTGTCGAAGAAGTTTACCGGCTTCAGCGACACCAGCATCTTCTCACAAGGCATCACAGGCCAATCCTCAACCCTAGGATTGTGCGTCGTGCCAAAAGTGTGCCAAACAACAATGTCCTCGTTTCGAACACTCGTAGGATGAGGACGCGATTTGATCCACGATCCAATTCCTTCGCCCCCGAGAGACTGCATAGTGTGATCCCCAGCAGCATAAAGCTCCTTGTCATTGTATTTGGTGACCCAGATAGGATGGGAGCAGAATTCGGACCGCCTGGCATGGATCGACGATGGGTGTGCCAGGAGCATTTGTGAATAATGCGGAACAAGCTTGTATCCAATCGCGGTCCCGGTGACGGAGTTGGTGATGTTCTCGTTGATGATTTTGAATACCCTGCCTTTAGTAATATCGGTGTCGAGGGGTGTCTCTGTCTGGACAATATTCTTTGTAGTGGTGTACCCAATCTCGAACGGATTGTGAACCTTCGGGTCGTCAATCGGCATTGGCACGGAGTCCTCGACGAGAAGCGAATTTGCATGTCCGTCAATAGCAGGGTCAATTCGGAGGCAAAAGAGATGTTGATGGTAAGGGGCGAGTACCCCGGGAGCCACTGAGATCCCATAAGGCACAGAATCGCCGATATCGATGGGGACGGTGGACAGAATCCCAGTTGCCCGCACTTCATAATTGATGGCCGCATCTTGCGTGAACTGGAAAGCAAAGATATATTCATAGTTTCCAACAGTGATAATTGTCTGCAAAACCAGAATTCGGGACCGCGTTACGACGGCATTGCCTGTCCGATAATTTGAATGCTTCCATAGGATCCCGTCGTCTACCTCATGACAACATATGACGTTTTTACGGACAAGAGGATTACCAGCCGTGGTGTGCAGGTATCCATCAAAGTACTTGATTGAGCCGAGACAGTCGCATCCTACAAAGTATTAGACTTGCCCTTGAAGCTAGAACAAAGGACAGAGAGTGTCACCAAGTTTCAAGTTGTTAGCATTCACCCCAGCACCATTACTTCCCAAGTCGAAAGCTGCCTTCCGAGGATAAGGTGCTCGACTATCGCCGTAAGGAACGAACATCTCCGAAAGAGACAAGCGGTAGAACACGCGACGACCATCGTATGTAATATCATGGAGAGTGAGGCCTTCGCGCTATATAAGGTCAGCTTATGGAAGTTGCACCATGCTATGCTCATGTGCTCACATAATTAAATCCTACGCGCATCCGCCACTTCTCCCAGGTAATCAAATTGCCGTCTGTTTTGAATGAAGGACCCTCGGGCTGAACAATATGGAACGGCTTGGTTGTCATACGCCGGTTCTTAGCAAGGTCTGGATGGTACTCGCTTGACTCGTGTAATTTTCTTCGATCAAATGGCTTGATTCCCTCGCTAGCAGGTTTCATGCGGTCACTGTCAGCGGACGGAAGGGTGAGGATTCCAATCACTTTTAAATTGTCTGTCATCTCCACGCAAATATCCAAGGGATATGCGTAATAATTGGCATCGCCATGGTTATTCAACCGCATATAAAAGTAGCACTTCAGTGGTCATCAGCATCGAGAATTTATCACCGTCCAGGTCGAGTCGTAGGTAATACCATCAAAATACGCTTGGACATATCGTGCATACCATCCGTGCCATATGTCCAAGGCTCGACACAGACAACGGCACCTTGTGGAAGATCTAAGGCGGCGATAGCCTTCTGAACTTCGGGGTCTTTCAGGCATGCCTCTTCACATTCGTCCATCAATGCCGGGTCGATGTATGAATGCTTTCCAGTAAGCTTCAACTCCTCCGTCACTTCTCGACTGGAGAGGTCCACTCGAATCTCTCGAAAATCCGAGGAATCGTCCAAGTAGAATTGCACCATGGCGGTTCGTGAGGGCGGAGCTACAGGCTTTGAGGCATGTTCTGCCTCTAGGAATGGTACCATTTCCGCCTTTGGCGGTTCCGCAAGGGTGACCACACGGAATATGACATTTTTACCTGCGTATGCTTTTTTGACGGCTTGAACGACCTGGTACCGTGTTAGCCATCTTGCATGGCCGTCCAGCCAATTCAAATATCAATAAGAAATACCAATGTAATTTCATCAGGCGACAGCGGGTCAAACGGGTGAGGGGTTGATTTCTGCATATTTTCGAGTAGGGCTTTGGCAAATTGCGTCCTTGGATCCACTAGATTTGATTCACATCAGTCGATAGAGAAAGGCGCTCATCCGAGGGATTGTGGTGAGATTTCGAAATGAGAGTTGCTTCCTGTCCAAATATTTAATCCTTATATGCCACGTCTCGACACCCACCGGAGCCATCTTCGCCTTCGAATTCGCTCTGGGCCTCTTAAATGGGAGCACGCTGAACCTTTAGAGGCAGGTTGATGCGGCGATCCAACATGATGCCGAAGCTAGAACCCCTCTGATGGCAATCCCAAGATTGTCTACGCATCAATCCCTCTAACTTGGAAAGATCTATACATTGTACTGCCCATACATATTCCAGGCACACCACTTCAGCACAATGGACTGGCTTCGGGTCACGCAAGGTGTCCATCAAGCGGACGGTGAGGGGCCATGAGTCGCGATATGCGTGGCAGCGAACCGACCGTTGAGGGGTTGCCCTCGGAAGTCAGCGGGCGGAGATAGTGGAGTGCAAGGATTAATTGGATTTTGGAAGTGCGTGCGCCTTACTTCGTTAGAGTGCCTATTTGCAGGTTTCCCCTCAACGGCCAGGGACTGTCAGGTGTTCAGCTTCTAACTTTCAGGATTCATGGATTGCGACATGTATATACATCAGAGGACCGGGGGCCAAAGGCGGGTCTACGATCCTCAACCACCAGTTAGTTATTTATCCTGTAGCCTCTCATTGACATACAAAGATCTCGCGTTCAAAACGAGTGACGACGATCAAAAGTTAAGTGGAAAGATAGTATTCTCGGGGGATCTCAAGCGACCGTTTGTTTGGCTCTAAAAGGAACTATTTTTTTGACCGCATAAAACTCAAGCTGAGCTTGTCTTCTCGAGGCTACCGATCTTATTGCGGTCAAGCTTATTGTCGGCTACTGCATAGAGAACCTCGAACGGAAACCTTAGGCACAGGTTCACAATCGTTTCGGAGGGGGGAGATTGGAAGTTTGATCTGCGTGTCAGGCTGCTGGGTAGTAATGCCAGGTCAAAAATATATCGATCAACAACCACCAAGCCGGAAACTCAGCATGGGATCGTTTGACCTCCTCCTACAAGGAGCACGCCCCGCCGTGCGAGAGGTGTAACGGCGGGGAGTGGCGATTGGCTTGGGTCACCGGCAGCGCGGCAGCCTCGACACCACTGCAGTCATTTCGAGTGATAAGAGGAGGTGTAACGTCCACGCAGCGAGTTTGTCGTCGCTCTTCCTGTGCGCTGAAGTTTGCGCTTTTGAAAGGGGTCACCGTCGAATTTGAGAGCAATGTCTTGGCCCAATTGCTTGAACGAAGCTGGCATTTCTGGAACAAAATCGATGGCGGTGGTGGATTCAAACCACGGCTAAACATGACGTCGGGCTGATGCACAAGCAGCGGTAAGATAGCGTAGAGAAGTCATCCCAGAGAGTCCCCAGCGATGGGTTTGAAAATGTGGACGATTCTCCGCAAGTTTGTACCCCGTAGCCAGCACGGATATTTGTCGGCGTTTTGCCAGGAGCCATTATCCAGACTTTCCCCTCACGGTCAATAACGATACTAAAAAAAGCACAAAAAAGCCCCATCGCCAACCCAAAAAACCAAACGAGGTCACACTCCCTCGGGCGTCGAGAGCAACCAGAGTGGGACTGGGTGGTCTGCTGTGAATGGCCGATCTCCGCCATTGACTCGGGTTTCAGTGACTTTCTGTCCTCTCTCTCCGCCGGCTATTTCTCTTAGCAAATTCTTTTATTATTAGTTCACCACGTCTCTAATCTCTTCTGCTGCGAATAATCACCCACCAACCACTCTTATCTCAATTCCTTTGCCCCCCCAAATATTTACCCGCAATCCGCGCTTGGAAGAGAACTTCTGGCCCTCTGTTGGTCCAACTTCCTAGCAGCCGCGCGCTTCCGTCGTCTAGTTAACCGCGACCCTCCGTTGTCGCTGTCGTGTCATTATCGCCTCGCTCTCCCGGTGGGAGAAAAAGCCCCCCCCCCACAAGGCGAGAATCAAAGCGCCCGTCCTCCTGTCGCATACCCGGGGAAGCTTATAGTTCCCAATGGGATCCTTAGTCGACGGCGACCACGCTCTGAGGGATGGAATCGCTGCCACGACGACGACCGTTGGGGAGGAAGTAGCTCCGAAGGCCGAACCGCCTCACGTCGAGGGTTCATACAGCTCAGCCGTCTCCACCCCAGAGCCGGAGGGCGAAGTCGTCGTCCATCAGGATCCAGTTCAGCGGCAAAAGCGGAAAGGTGGAAGAAAACCAGTATGCCAACCTTAAGCTCCTCGTCGTCGGTTTAAGAGACCATCTTGTAAAATTTATCTTGTACGGCTAATTCGCGGCTTTCTATCCAGATATATGCCACGTCCGAAGAACGTAAACAACGCAATAGACAGGCCCAGGCCGCGTTCCGCGAACGAAGGACGGAATACATAAAGCAGCTCGAAGCCACCATTAAACTGAATGAGGAGACCCTCCGTACCTTGCAGCAAAGCCACCGTAGCGCTGCCGATGAATGTTTGATGCTGCGATATAAAAATTCGCTTCTCGAGCGGATTCTATTAGAAAAAGGTTTGATACTTCAACTGTACATATACAACAACCGATCTTAATGGTTATTTGCTCCAGGCATTGATGTCCAGGGGGAATTGCGTCTCAAGAGTGGCAGTCCGAGTCTACCACCGGCGAGATTGCCTCCTCATCAGCCCCACCGTCCGTCACCCCTTTCCCAGCCAATGTTCAATAGACAACCAACACATCAACAGTCAGTTGGAATTGCACAGAGATCCGCGCAAGTTGGTGTCTCCCAACATGAAGGAGCTTACAATGTGCACTCTTCACAAACGCAGCAACCCACTCCGTCATCACACGTCTCTCCCTCGCCTGCTGCCTCTGTCTCTTCCGGATATACATTGCATGGTGGGATGTCCCCGGCTGGAGTAGAAATCCATGCTCAGTCACAGTCGCATAAGTCCCAATTTCCACGGGCACCAGTGCTACCGCAGCCCGGTGGTTTCGGTCAGGGAGCGCATGTTCTGACTCCCACGTCCATCGACACCCCAGACACAAATGCGGGTTCTCAACCAGGAGCACCCTCTGGCACCCCCATCAATACCCGAATGCACTCCTCCTATATCGTTACACCATTCTCCAGACCTTATGAGCAATTAGGCAAGTTGCCCCGTCCCTTTTGGTGAATGTGAACCGGTTGATCATACGGAGTTTTGTTCGTTCTGACTATGTTTGAGAAACAGGGCAGGAGTATGGCGCACAAGCAATGTCTCACGATCAACAAGAACCCGAAGAGTCGACGACCACACCGAACACGTTTGCCCATGAATTCTCCACGACAAGAGGGACACAGCGAGGCAGTCACTCCGAACTGCATTCACATGTGGGCGATACCGACGGATTCGGAGCGGCAACGTCGTTCGCCGATCACTTCGATCCGATGCTGGATACGGATCCATTCGGCTTGAGTGCCAGCATGCACTTCCAGACCCCATTCAGCTATGCTCAGAGCAATGTGCGCTAGCGCAAGGTCGAGTCGCCCCCTCCCCCTTCCCGACTTTCCTTCCACCTCGCAACAATGGCTTTCCGGGTCTACACGCACGTATGGAGTTGCAAAAGTCTTTGAATTGTCGAGTGGCCCGTAGTCTACAAGTCTACTGTTGGTGCACTTTTTCCCTCCTCGACGGAGGATCCTTATGCATATAATGGGATATATATATACAAAGAAACAACATCATATTGGAGCAAGGGCCGGGTCTACGGACAATGCATATTCTGGCGTTTGGATGTGATGATCTTATGGTGTATGATGGCTACGATCAAATGTGGTTTTTTTTTTTTTTTTTATTTTATTTTTGAAAAGCGTCACGAGGAGTTTCTGTTGCTTGTACATAGTAGCTCTTGACTGATCTCTTCGCATCCATCAATATACATACATACTTCCTACAGCCCTATATAGCCGACGGAGCGCGGTCATGAGACTGCTGTATGATGTAATACCCTAAACCCTAAGGCGGAGAAACGACGGGCCGAGTTTCCGGAATTCGCTTAGCATAATGCGCTGAGTCAGCAGCAGTGTGGCTCAGGCGGGCTGGCTCCAGCCTAACGCAAACGAGCGGCAAAATTCCAACTTCGAACGTCGCTCTCGTTCTCCCAAACCCACACAAACCACTCACTCTCTCTCGCTGCCCACCCCACCCATCGACCACCTCCCGTCACATCTCAGTTCGAGAGGCTGAATTCCTGGATCTCGCTTCGAGGACCTCTGCCCATCTCGTCTGGCTCGCTTTCTTCCCAACCACTCTTCCAACCCGAATTGTTGCGATAACGGAAGGCCTTCCAAGGAAGGCATAACAATACCAGGCGTCATGTCGGACGTCCGGTCCAAGGTACGGTCAGCCCTGAATCCTGCGACGTGCTCCCAAGACAAGCTCGTCCTTTTCCCTGCGCATCAATTGGGTTATTGTCGACTCTCAATTGATATTGTCGCTGTAATTGATGGAAATATAAGAAACTGACTTGTTGATGTGTGCGTTTGTAAACAGAACATTTACGAGCTTCTTGGTACGGTTCCCAATGCCCATCAAAACCTCAACCACGATACATATGCCTTCAATTGATTTTTTTTTCACTTCCTGTTGTTGCTTGATGCCCAATTGGTGAAAATAAATCTAACGTGATTGCTGGGGGGGTTTTTTCACAGGCAATGATCCCGAGCTCGACCCCGATCGGGAGCCACAACCACCTGTCAAAGTCGTAGACAAGACAGCTCCTCGCCATGGCAAGCGTGAAGGGCCGGTCCAACCCCGTGGCAGCAATCCTGCTTTGTCCCGCGGTGGCCCACGATACACCGGCAATGAACGAGGTAACTGCTTACACCTCTATGTCTAGTAGACTTTGTTATGCTAACTACTTTTCTTAGCCTTCCGAGAGGGAGCTGCCAACTCTCGTGCCAACCGTTCCAGGCCAGCTGAGGAGGCACCTCGCGCTCCCTACGTTGGTGGAGTAAAGAACCGTGACCAACGCGGAAATCTTATTCGCGAGGACCGACGATCAAAGACTGATCGAACGTAAGTTCTCTACCCGGTTAATAATTGACACGTGCAACCTTGTGTTAACCCAGACTGTTTAGCATTACCGGAAAACAGCATGACCAGGGCTGGGGTGCTTCTACTGGAGAATCCACCATGGTCGATGAGAAGGCCGGAGAAGCTATTGCTCAAAATGACGAGAAGGAAGTCGCTGCCGAAGCCCAGGAGGGAGAGCAGCAAGAAGAAAAGGAGCCCGAGCCCCAGGACAAGACCAAGTCCTATGCCGATTATCTGGCTGAGCAGGAGCAGAACAGGCGCGAGGACCTCGGCATCAAGGAGGCTCGCAAGCCCAACGAAGGCTCCAAGGTTGATAAGAAATGGGCCGGCGCTAAAGAATTCAAGCGCGACGAGGAAGAAGACGCCTACATCAAGGGACGCGAAGAGAAGGCCCGCCGCGAGAAGCAGCGCAAAGAGAAGAACCTTCTCGATGTTGACATGCGCTATGTCGAGCCCCCCCGCCGTGGCGATTTCCGTGGACGCGGCCGTGGCGGTGATCGTGGTGGACGAGGCCGTGGTGGACGCGGTGAATTCCGTGGACGTGGTAACGGCGGCCATGGCCCCACTGTCGACGAGAAGAACTTCCCCTCTCTCGGAGCGGCCAAATAAACGATCGTGTAGCTTGAAATTGCGACGTTGGGTTAGTCCGTACGTTTCGCTATCTAAGCCGTTGAAATACGTCTTAATCTGAAAACCGTTGCAGAACCATCAAGTGCTACCAGAAATGTTGTTTTCTCTTTTGTTTTCCAGCAAAGCTCTAGGCGAACAGAATGGAACGGGGAAATGCCAAAAAAAATTCGAGGCCTCTTTTGTGCAATTAATTCTATGAATCTATTGTCTCCCTTTCCTTTTTAACCACCCCCCTTTTTTTTTACCGTGGGCTCTGTGTCTCCCAAGACTTACTCAGTGCTGAACTTAATTTCGTGAAATGTCATATTGGGCTCTCTTCTGTCTTCTTTCATATTCCTCGGTCTACGGTCTCAAAAGCAGGGTGAATGTTGAGCAGTGTAGAATCAGGGGGGAAACCGTGTGCAATATTAGTGTTTTCTCATAGCTGGGCTGGAAAGATATCGTTTAAAATTCAGGCTCTTCTGTTCATCCCCTTGATATTCCCCCTGCTTTGCAATTTGACTTGCCGTGGTTGAGTCTTCTTTGCTCACGCAATGGCTCTTCTCCTCCTTACCAATCCCCGCATACCCAACATGCAGGCTGCTCTTGCGCTTTATATGTGTTAAGCCGGCCGGCTACAAGGGCAGAATATCTAGGACCCATGTCCCGGTCATGAGGCCGCATTCGCAGTTTCTGTTTTACCAGTGCATCCTTCTCGCATTCTGATGCCCCTAGATGATGGCACCTATGCCGTCTAATCGATACGGGCATTACCCGGAGTTACGAGAAAGTCGGCATACCAGTTATTTACCTGTATCTGGACGGGATTCTCCCATCTGGTTACTGAATAGGAACCGAATCCTATTCTTGTCGGGCTCTATCTATTATTGATGATACACGGGATGTTCAAGGAAAATTTTCTTTTCATATTGTCCCCTGACTCACTCGATAAAAGCACTTGTCGACTTGCAGGAAAAAGAAAATTTTCAGTTACTCAACCCAGAGAGAAGATATAAAAGCCCCTTCTCTTCGACCCTCTTCACTTTTCTTTCTCTTTCACTCGCCGTGCAAATTTCATATCTTCAACTCCAATAATAACAGCAATCCATCAAATCCCGACCTAATACCACTCACTTCTACCTAACCCAAACCTCATTTTTATATCCTCTTTTAGTTTTCTTTAAAAAAGGTTCTTTTACAGAGCTCTTCCAAATGGCGGCCATCAGCAACACCTCCGCCGCTGTCAAATATCCCTGGGACCCGGCCACCCCTCTAACGGCCCGGTCAACGTGCTCCATCTTCCTCCCGCCGTCGCTCGAACTTCTTCCCGTTGGCCCCACCAGCAACTCCTCCTCCTCCACTACCACCACCGTCGCGACCCCGCTAACAGCGCGGTCAACCTGCTCGATCTTCGAATTCAAAACCCCATCTAGCACCGAATGGATGTGGGCCAAGTGCAGTCTCGGCGTCGGCAGCGTCGTTCCACGGGTGGTCGTGCCGAGCAATCCCAGAAGCAGCAGCGGGCGGCAAGGCCCAAAGAACAAGGAGCCCCAGAAGTGTGGTGGGCAGGAGATTTACAGGGCTTCGTTGCCCTTGAGAAAGCAGGAGGTAGCTGATTTATGCCCATGTTTCCCCAGAATTCTCTGCTGATTTCCCGATATCCTGGTTGAAAATGATTTTCCTCTTTGAAACTGATATATTCGGTTTCTATATAGTCCGCTACCAGCCGCAGCCAGTCGCCAAGTCCTCGCTAGGAGGATGAAGGCAATTCTGGCCCGACGTGTCAATTCGGTCGCTCCGGCTGCGTCGTCTTCCTCTGGCTTGCCAGCAGTCCGGCGAGCCTCAGGTGAGGGTTTGCGACGTATTCACCCGTTTGAGCTCCTAGGGATCTACGGTATGTCCCCTGCTGTCTTAAAGCATCTTGAAACTGACAGCTGTAGATCTCTAGAGTGGTGAGTTGTCAGGTTTGCAGTTGATACTCTGGGCTTTTCCAATTTGAACTTTGTCATATCTTTTTCGTTGGGGAGGGCCGGGTTTTGTGGTCAGTTGGACCTAAAGTTAGGACTTGGTACTGGAGCTCTTTGAGCTCTGAAATGAAGTCTATGAGTCAGATGGCCAAAGACTATATATCCTTGGTGAAATCCTGAGCGCGGATCAACACGAGCTCTTCGCGAGGTAGCCAACTACCAAGTACACATGGCATTGATACCTACCCCAACCTCGACCACGGCCTTTTTGACCGCCATGCACAGCGCAGCCAAGTTGGATACGTACTCAGTACTCCGTAGCCTCCGGCCAAAAAAACAAATTGACTACCTTCTAGCTGATTATGGTATGGCAACTTACCAGAGCCTTAAACAGTAAAGAAACTCCTTTCACACTTTACCGCTGAAGTTCGCCAGTTTTCGACGTATGGTACAGAGTCCCGGTCCACAAATTGAGAAGCTATCCCCTTAAACCAAGGAAATCCGAGAGGAGAATCAAAAATGGAGCAGGAATTTCCCCGAAGAGTGCATTTCGCGTTGACCCTGTATCTGACGGAGGAGGACAGAGAGAAGTTGACGGAGTTTTTCACGAAGAAAGACCAGCAATGCTTGGGCGACACTCTCAGGATCAATTGAGCTGCGCTTGTTCATAGTGTCTAACTGATTGTTGACTGCTCATCCTCGTTCTTCTCTCGCCCCGGGCCCCTTTAGTTACATGGCCCCCATGTAGCTAGTTAGTCACTCTCCGAGGTCTGGAGTCGAAATGCAAAGGCACCGAAACCTCTTTGTACCGCATCATTGAGTTGCTTTACAGCTTGAACGGGGAACTCGATGTTTGGAGGATTAAGTCGGAGCTTTTAGTCCACACCAAGGCTCAATATATGCGATCTAAATCATGTGCCGGAACAAGTGCTGGCCCGTGGAGGTGTCGGGTTGACGAGGCCAAATATTTCATATACAAGAGCTATGGCTGTCAAGTCACAGCGACGATCATCCCCTCTACAGCAAAATACCACATCATAAATACGATAAGAATATATATAGATAATGATCAGAGGGTAAGCGTACTGGTCTAACTATGCAAAAGGATCAACCTCCTGTGCAACTCCAACGTGCAATCCCGAGTGAACCAGCACATGTTTCATCCAAGAAGACGGAATGACGAGATAGGCATACTCCAAATTGATGACCTCGTTGACAAACTGATGCAAAACTCCAGCTAGAACATCTAGTCTCTGGGGCCGGCCCAGTCATCCTCATCTGCATCATTCAGGGCAATCCTCAGCTGTGATCCGTCATACTTCCCCTGGATCTCTATCATCAAATTCTCGCTTTCGTCATCGCCACCGCCACCGGTGGGCTCATTTGCATCGGGTTCCCTGTTGGTGTCTTCATTCAGGAACGCTAGGCCATCCATAGCCATTCCCTTGCAAGCCTTTTCAAGAGCTAGGAAAGCAAAATGCCCACCAACGACCGGCCGGGCGAAGAAATTTGGACCTGGGAAGCCACCATCGCCTTCAGTCTTGTACAGATCCGTCATTGGTCGATCTGCCGCCGTCTCATTAACCCACAACGCGACTGACTCCAGGATCTCGTGGCGAGTCGACTCGCTAGCAACCGCCATGGCGAAAAATTCCCAGTCTGATTTTGTATATAGATGTCGGCTGTCAAGGGGTAATCCATACTTTTGCCGTACGTACTGATACCATTTGGACTGCAAAGTATATACATGCTTTGGAATAAAACCCTCCCGGCGCCGCACAGGCTCAGAGATCGATTCGAAGTCTGCCTGGATTGGATTCGGGTCATATTTGGTCCCGTCCAAATGGAAGCAGAGAAGTGCATCGGCGTACATATTGTATAAGGTGGTCCAGGAACCGTACCAGTCATAAGCAACTTTAGCGTGTGTCTTATCCCTCGAAAAGCCGTATCCTTCCCACTTGGAGATATAAGTGTCGGAAATGTTCTAGAGAGTTGAAATTAGAATCACCACCCAGAGGTAGGATCGGCAGCTTAACATACTTTGTAGAACAACGTGTCGGCTCTGTTTTCAACAAATCGGGATAGTTCACTCATAGCGTTGATACCAACGATCCCTTTCAGAGCAAGATTAGTCTGAAGGGCCAACCACCCAGCGAAATCGTCGGTAGAAACTTGGAGATGTCAGCAAAGCTACTCTCACTTGCATAGTGGCAAGACACTTACGTTGATTCTCGGGCAACAAGGAAAATTCGACCAGGTAGCCTGTCCATTGTTTGATCAATGTGTATGATCGGTCAACCCATTCACGCGCACGCGAAACAGAGCCATCATCGATCCACGGGGTATCGATCTTATCAATGCCGTTGCTAGTCTGAAGGGGGACCAGTGGAAATATTCCGGTCACCGGTGGTATGGGATCGTCACCATCAATAACGCCACGGGAATGTAAAGTTTCCTCGCCCGCGGCTCTTGCAGGATATCTAAGCGAGTTCACCACCGCAAGGGTCATTATGAGCATGTTACCACACTCTTCAACAGGCATGTATTCATCTTTCCCGTCGGGGTGTCCAGTCATATTTGGGAAATGACTGCCTAGGTCATGCATGGAGTATTTATTCGGGTATTGTCCGCTCAGCATGTGTTCGAAGAGTGGTTCAAGCAGATATGTCAGCCACCGCGGATTTGTATATAGGAAGAATGGGAAAGACGGGAAGATAACGTCCACTGTTTGACAGTTTCCATTCGAAGATATCTCCTTGAGGAACAAAACTGGGCTTTCCGCGGTTCCAGAAAAGGAGGTTGCACCGAGAACTTGTCTTGCTGAAAGAGCGACAATGTCTACGTAATCTTCGGCTCCGGATTGGAAAGCATCGATGGCCAGTTGATTAGAATACTTGGATGTAAGTAGCCTGGCGTTGTTGAGGTCGTGATAATGGAAAAGAATGAGGCTGTTGATATCTGCGAACCATGACTGCCAAAGCGGTTTCATCAATGTCAACCCACGGGCAGCAGCGAACTGAACAACTGGATCCTGAATATGTGCAATGGTAAAAGTCACTGAATCTTCTCGGACATTATTTCCAAGGCGAAACGATTTGGCGTAAGCGAAAACCGGCTCGTGATCCATGATCGTTCGATATACAGGATCGTTGACATTCTGTAGAGTACCCGTTCTTGAAAAGCGCTGCCTCAGTAGTGCAGAGGTTCCGGACTCGTATCGAACATCCTGCAAAAGATATCAATACTTATTTCGAGAGATGTAACATCAGCCAGGCAGATCTGATTCATACCGGAGGCGCCATAAAATGTAAGGCTCCCCATTCAGCGCGATCCCCGAACTCTGTAAATAGAAGCTCAGTTTGTCTTTTGACTTCCCATTTCAACAAGCCTTTATCGCCTTGATCAGGGGCAATATGATCGAATCGCCATTCTATCATACTGCCTCGGTCTCCACTGACCCATTGACCATTGACGTCCATGTATATATTAACATTGACGTCGCCCTTTACGAAAACATCTACATACGATGCCGGGATCGACTGACGGAGAGTGGAAGTTGGCGTTATGGGAGATAAGAATGAGATAGTAATATCCAGCTCTCTAGCCGTACCCCCTTCAGCCTGTGAGAGGATGTGATACGTCAAATTCGTTGTCGACGCATCGTAGCTGGAGCCAGTAAAGATTGGAAAGGCCACATGATAGCTATTCATATACCCAGTCATTAAAAGCCCTGTAAAGTAATCCGTGGAAAAAGGAAACCAGAAGCGTCTTTCTCACCCATCAGGATTCTCCGCATCTAGCGAATCGTGCGGTCTTCCAACCAGCGGGTACACAGCACCAGTGCTAGGTATTTGCGCCATCAAACTCATGCCAATCTCCTGGCCAGTCCAGAACATAGGCCATTTCGACCACGGGTCACCACGAGCATTTCCCAGCCAGGTGCTCAGATACGGGTTCCGCACGGTCAACGGCAATACTGGGGGCTTCAGGCGAGAAGCAGCCACTGCAGTGACCGGGTAGAGGGCCGCGGCCCAGAGCAGGGCGGCAACAAACACCCACCGCATGGTGGTGAGCTATGGATATGGCTATAGCTACGGATGTTGTGTACTTCTCCAGGAAGTTTTCTAAAAAAGCAAGGAGTCTTAACCAAGACAAGACAAGGAAAGGCAATTCTCTCAATTCAAGGGGGGCCTTGAGGAGAGAGAATCGAAAAAGAGGTCAATGCCGCAGAAACATGGGCGAGGAGGGAGTGTAATTTAACTGAAGGACGATGGCAGGTTGAAAGACAGCAAGCTGTTTGCTGCTGTTGCTGCTGCTGCTGCTGCGGTGATGGCGGCGGCGGCGGGCGGTTGTTGCGGTTGTTGCGGTTGTTGTTGTCGTCGTTGCTTGCTGCTGGTGATCGTCAAACGGCAGTTGAGACCCCGTTCCAGGCGGAGTTTGGCTGGCGGCGACGCGGGTCAGGCGGGGAAGTCACCCGCAGGGCTGCAGGGCTGTTCCCCGCATCATTGACTCAGCCCGGACCGGGACCAGCGCCGTCCATCCAGCCAGGCATCGCGACGGCGGGAGCTGCGGTGCATGCTCTGCACGTCGTTAGATGGGATCACCCGTCTGCCGGTTCAGTTTGAAACCCCACATGCAGCCCACTTGTTTTTTTGACGGCGTTGTTCTGTAGCTATCCTGTAGGGGTCGTGTCGTCGCTCGAGTTCTGGGTTGCACAGGCAGAACATTGACTTTCTCCATTACCTGGTCAGAACACTCGTGGGTATTATCATTTCTCCGAGTGAACCAGCAACTG